TATAATATCTATTGTGAACGATTCGATAGTAGTTGTGCTATCACAATGAATTAAGACAAGTGGTATAGATTTTTTCCACATAGGAATTTCATATAAAAGATCACGTAACCAACATCCTTCATCATTGGTCGAGGCTAGAGATATTAACTCGCCTCCATAGTGGATTTTACAATTATCGACTTTTTTTATATTTCTAACATATTGCTCCTCCATCTAAAGTAAAAACATACCCAGTGGTAGACGATGAATCACCGGATAAGGTGTTCCAATCAGCATCATTGTATCCTTCAAGTACAGTAGATGCTTTTGATATAACAAACCATAATTCATTGTACCTTTCAAGTATCTCATTATATGTGTTATGGCATTCCAATGTTGAGCATTGGGTTTGCTAGTAAATCTTGCTAGTACCTCAACAAGAAAAGCGATATCTAGTCTTGTACGATACCGTAGCAGTACATGAGACTATCAACAATGCTAGCATACTCTTTTTGATAGCAAATGTCATTATCATTTTTTGTTGGAAATAGATGCATAATAGTACTAAAAGGAGTCCCTACGAGTTTGCTATCTAAAAAATCATATTTTTTCAAAAGCTTTTCAACATAATGAGATTGATCAATAAATATTCCACTTGAAAATCTAGAGACTCTTATGTCAAGTATCATATTTGCTTCACCTAAATCTTTCATATCAAAATTATTTTGAAGCAATAATTTAGTATTATTAATAACATTCATGTTTGATCCAAAAATTAAAAGATCATCTACATATAAGCATATAATCACATGAACATTCTCAAAGGATTTATAATATATGCATTTGTCACTCTCATTTGCTTTAAAACCATTATTAAGTAAGCAAGCATCAAATTTTTCATGCCATTGTTTAGGTACTTGTTTTAAACCATATAAAGATTTTTGTAACTTACATGCCTTATTTTCATCACCTTGTGCTATAAAACCTTTAGGCTAATCCATATATATTTCTTCTTCGAATCTCTATTTAAAGAAGTCGTCTTTACATCCATCCGATGTATAAACAAGTTATGAATAATAGCAATTGCAATAAGTAATCTAATAGATGTTACCTTAGTTACTGGAGAAAAAGTATCAAAGAAATCAATATCTTCTTTTTGTTTAAAACCTTTGACTACCAATCTGGCTTTGAACTTGTCTATAGACCCATTAGGATTCAATTTCTTTTTAAGTACCGACTTACAACCAATTGTTTTACAACCGGGAGGTAATTCAAATATTTTCCAAGTATCATTTGAAATTAGAGAATCCATTTCATCATTAATAGCTTCTCTCCAAAAGTCTACATCATGATATGATAAGGCTTGTTTTAAAGAAATAGGATTATCTTGTACATTATATAAGTAGTAATCGAATCAAAATCTTTTTCAAACTCGACTCTTTTACTTTTTTTAGGTTCACAATCATTTTCAATTTCACATATTGAAGAAGAAGATTAAACTCTTGGTTGAAAAATCATACCCTCATTATTTTCCACCTTAAAAGGAAATTTGTTTTCATGAAAGATGGCATCCAAAGATTCAATAATAGTTTTATTATCAAGATCAAAAAATCTATAAGCTTTACTATTCAAAGCATAACCCAAAAAAGCATAAGTAGAAGCTTTTTTACCAAGTTTTGGTCTTTTAGGATCGAGTAGCCTAACAAAAGCTAAATAACCCCACACTCTTAAAAAATCTAATTTTGGCTTATATCATTTCCATAATTCATGAGGAGTTAAAAATGTGATTTTATGAGGAATTCTATTAAAAAAAATTTACAAATAAAACAACTTCACCCCATAAATTCTTTGGAGCATTAGAACTAACAAGCATAGAATTTACCGGATCAATTAGAGTTCTGTTCTTCCTTTCAGCAACGCCATTTGAAGAAGGTGAATATGGAGTCGTAACTTCATGCATAATACCATTAGTTTGCATAAAATTATTGAAACTAATAGAGCCATATTCCATACCTCTATCACTACAAAGCCTTTTGATCTTTTTACCAAATCTGTTTTCAACTTCTTTTAAAAAAGTAGTAAATTTTTTAAAAGCTTCATTTTTATGCTTCATAAGAAAAACATATGAATATTTTAGAAAATCATCAATAAAAGTTATAAAATAACAATTATCACCACGAGTTAGAATGCCACTAAATTCACATGTATCGGTATGTATTAGTTCTAATAATTCAATATTATGATCAACACTTTTAAAAGGTTTTCTTGAAATTTTAGCCATGCTACAAGATTTACATTTTTCAAACTCATTTTCAAGTTTAGGGATTAAACCAATATTACTCAAGTTTTTCACATAGTTACAATTTATATGACATAATCTACCATGTCAAACATTCACATAAGAAACAATATAAGTAGAAGTGGATCCTTCATTATTCATTTCAATATTAAGTTTAAACATCCTATCACAACCATAGCCTTTTCCAACAAATAGGTCTTTTTAGAAAGTACATATTGGTCGACCTCAATAACTTGCTTAAAGCCGACCTTATTCAAGAGAAAACCGAAACTAAATTCTTACGAATTTCGAGTGCATGCAACACATCTTTGAGAGTAACCTCTCTTGTAGATGTAAATTTAATGAGTACGTCTCCAACCCTCACTACATCGGTAGTGTGAGAATCACTAAGCATGATTTTCTTTTTCTCATCCAAGATTGTATAAGTCTTGAACAAATTTTTATCATAAGAGACATATCGAGTAGCTCCCGAATCAACCCACCACCTATCCGAGCCTTCGAGAATATTAATCTCAAAAATCATAGCCACAAGTGGCTCTTTGATAACGTTAGCTTGAGCCACGAGCCCACGTTTTCGAAGTCGATAATTTTAGCAACATGCCCGAGTTTACCAAAAACTAAACAAGCATAAGCATTATTGTGGTTGCCATTCTTTAGTGGTGGTTTAAGACGTGATTCATAATTTTTGGTTAGTTGGAGTGATACTCGGTTTCCATAAGGCTTTTTCTTGAAAATCTTTTTCTTTGGCTTATACTAACCATTAAACTCGTCCTTTAGCTTTTAACATGTGATAGGAGTTTTCATTAGAGGTAATTATGTTTACCTTAGTACCATTTGAACCGTTAAGTTCAACGACTTTGTCTCTCGTTTCTTGCTTCCTCTTCAACCCTTAGACGAGTAATAAGAGCTTCAATGGAGAGCTCCTTTTGTTTATGCCTCAAGCCTTTAGCAAAATCTTTTTAGGATTCTAGCGACTTGTCAATGATGGTTGAAACTAGAATTTGCTCATCTACATGTATGCCTTCAAAGAGAATGTCATATGCAATCATTTAAAGCTCATAGGCTTTTCTTCATTCATTTGAAACCTTAAAAAAAGATTGCAAGCATATTTTTTGGATCCAACTTATTCGGTGTCATATTTTTGAACTAGAGCCTTCCGGATCTTCCTAACATAAGAATATCTTTGATCATAGTAGTCATAAAGCTCATCGGAAAGATAGTTTAGTAAATAATTTCTACAATGATCGCTATCTTTTTCTCATTTCTTAACTTCTATTTCATGTTGAGCTATCTCTTCATCACTCATATTTTTAGTTTTCTTTTTCTTAGGATTTTTTTCAGTTAAGACATAACTCACATTCAATAGAGTAGGATAAAATAAAATCTTTTGCCTCCATCTTTTGAAATTTACACCACGAAAGCGGAAGGGTTTGTTAAGATCACCCACTCTAGTGGAGCTTTGCCGTGCACATTAGTGTTTTTCATTAGCAGGTATCGTCTCAAAATTGTTGGAAAAATAAAAAAATATTACCCGAAAATTTTGAATGAAAAACACCAAAGTAGCTTTACTTGAATTTTTATAGGTGATCTGTCTCGAGGCACAACCAGGTTGCTTTCGAGACGATACGCACCATCCGTAGAATTTTTTATGATGCAACGAATCGGGGATATATTGCACGCCGTCCCGGGGATACAACAAGCTCGATCACCTTGTCATGTCTTGACAAGTTTGGACTACTTGTAAGACTTGAAACTCAAATATAAACTAGCACCACTCTTACCCAAAGAAAGATTAACAATAAAAAACAATATGGCTTTTAGTGGGAAATAAAAAGCAATAAAATTGAAAGAAACTTTTTCTCTCTTAGCACAATAAAAAAAAAATTGCTTGCTATTTTTGCCTCTCCACAAAGCAAGGAAATGTTTATGTCGAAGTGAGTTCACCAAATGGCAAGAGCCATTTATATATATATAAAAAAATTGCTCGTTGTAGCTTGAATTAATTGAAAATAAATCAATTGAATGGAAAAAACGTTTAGAATAAAAAAGATATTGTTTTCATTGAATGAGGAAAAAAATTGATGTAGCCTTTTTTAAAACACAATTCAATGTATAAGTTACTGATTCAAACAAGTAACTTATACCTCTTTTTTCTTAAATATAAAAATATATATTTTATTAAAAATAATCCAACACATATTTTCAATCCATACAAAAAAAAAAAAAAATCCAATCCGAATCAATTAAAAATAAAATATTTGAATAGCAAATCTTATGTTTGTGTTTTTGACAAATTATGCTTGATGAGATCTTATTACTATAAAAAAATCTTATAATCGAGATTTATTATATACAATTATTTATTTTATAAGAATTAATTTGAAATATATAACTACATTTAATGATTTTAATACTAATTAGAATTAAAAAAATCTAAATCAAATTGTTAAAATAAATCTAAAATAATTAATCCTTACTTAATGGCTTTGAGCCTCCCATAAGAGGGTAAAATTGCATAATGTTGGATACTTTAGGATTGGATTCGGTTGAGCGGACCCTACATACAATCCTCAACGTGACGCAAATATCATTATCCTTTATACATTGCCAAAATGGTGCAGTTTTCTTTTCACGCAAATTCCTGACTTTCTTTATGCTTCTCGTCTCATCCTAAACCTTGAGCGCACGTTAGCAACCACCACCATAGGGAGAGAAAACTCTCATGGCTTCCTCAAAGGCTCACGATCTCGAGATCACAATAATCTCCGCTAAACACCTCAAAAACGTCAATTGGCGAAACGGCGATCTGAAACCATACGCTACCTTCTATCTCGACAACTCGGACCACCGACTCGCAACTCATGTCGACGACTCACTCTCAACTCGCCCAGTCTGGAACGAACGATTTACTCTCCCCATAACTCGCCAGATCTACGATTCAGTCCTCACCCTCGAGATCTTCCACTCCAAGCCATCGGAAACCCCCAAACCTCTGGTAGGCACCGTGAAATTCCCACTGAGTCAGCTCATACACTCGGAAGGGTCGCTGTCCTGCTCAGTCCACACGCTCGAGCTCCTTCGTCCCTCTGGCCGTCGACAGGGTAAAGTCCGGGTGAAACTCGAGGTGAAAGAACGGCCTTTGCCTCCGCCAGTTCAGGATTACCATACTACCCCTAATTATAATCAGTATTACAACCCTGCCCCTTCCCCTCCTCCTCCCCCACCCCCTGCACGTGACTACAGGGAATGCTCTCCCTCCCCATACGGCTACACCGATCAGTACGGCTACTACCCTGCCTATTATCCTCCACAACCACCCCTACCATCTCGACCCCTCTACAATCGAGCATCCAATTACAGCTTGCCAGGTGGGCCTTCTGCTCCCGTTGATCTATCTTCCCAATCATCACCTTCGCCCTACGATCACAAGCCCCCACCTTCGGGATTGTTGCAAAAGACGTCCAATTATGGCGTTCCAAGTGGACCGTCGGCTCCCGTCGATTATTCATATGCAAAAGGTACTGGGCCCGAGATTAGTGGGTCAATGGGAGGGTTAAGTTTGGAAGAAGGGAGTAACTATGAGAAAGAGAAAGTTGCTGCTGCTGATAAGGATAGTCACAGCTACCATGAGTATCGTCGCGAGTACTGAAGGAATTGAGAGAGAGAGAGAGAGAGAGAGAGAGAGAGAGCGAAGGTATATTTGATATGTATATATATATATACTCGCATTGTGGCTTTGATTGATGAATATACTTTTGTATATATGCAATTAATTATCGTAATTACTGAATGCTGCACTCAGTCTCTTGTTGTGCTTTAATTATTTCTTTTTGTAGTATGCCTGTTTCTCTCATTTCTGTTATGGATGTTTGGTGCTGCACTTGTCTCTCTCTCTGTTTTTTTTTTTTGTTTTTTTGTTTTTTTTTGTTTTTTTTTTCCGTGAAGTCTTAAATCGGGCCGCTAGCTTACACTTGGGTGCTCCTTTGGTGGTTAATTATTGTAGTATAGAACAACTTGAGCAGGGAACCTTTTGGCCTCTTTGTTTGGTATTTTAGCTTTGCTCAAGATTTCTTCCTTGCAGCGTGGTGTTGGGCATGGGTTTAAGAAGTTTTCTTGTGAGATGGCTGTTGATGTGTTGAGCTCGGCGGGAGTATAGATTACATTGAATGACAATGGGTAGGTGTTTATGCTTCCATGGATCAAATTTGTTTTGCTTAGAGTATGCCATCAGAAACTTATGTGTAGCTGTCAGTGTGGAACTGCAAATGTTGCAGTATATGTGTGTAGAAAATAATATGGCTTTGTGATCTGGGACTAATAGTTTGTTCTTAATGGAATTGGTAAGTTCAATGATCTCTACCATAGAAAGAAGACTGTTTGTCATGAATTTGTAATTGGTGACACTCTGCATTCTGCAGACATCCACCCATGGTTTTGTATCTATTCCTTTGAATCTTTCGTTGTATGGAGTTGTCAGAAGCTACTGATTATAGATTTTTGTGAGTGTGGATTTTCTATAGGTGATGTAGTGAATATCTGAATCTGAATTTGAGGTATGTAAGGTTGTCGGTGAGGATTTGAGTTGAAGAAAACTGAGAATGGTCATGGGTAAATGTGACCTAGGGAGATAAAGGTGCTGGAGCCAAGACAAGGTGAATTTCAAGACCGATGTTGATGAAAGAATATTGGAAGTGTTAATGAAGCAAAATTCTGGCTTTAATGAAATTGGAAATTGAAATAATGATTTTGATTGCCGACTGGTAATGACAGGGAAGGGACAGTATTAACAGTGGTGATTAACCAGAGAACAAGAGGTAATAGATCTAAGCTGCTTGCACGACTAGGTTGTAATTAATGACAAGAGGGGATTTCAGTTTGTTGTTCTGTTTTGTTTTTGCCTCTTAAATTACCGAATATAGTTGCCATTTGCCAATGGCTCAATGCTCTTTCAGTTGAAAATTGTATTAAAAGAAATAAGAATATATAGAGCCACAGGCATTGGGTAATTTCAAAAAGCTTTAGAGTTGGATGTAAGGCGTCCTTCATAAGAGCAACTGTAAAAGCAGGTGAATGAATCTAGTCAAGTCAAGAAGGTTAAATTGGTATGTAGGTTTTCTGCTTCCTCAACAACTCTCTCTAACGGTTACCTTTAAATTAGAAAACGGCTTCTCATTTTGGTGGTTTGTATTTTCTGTATTGAACTGAATTATTGAATTTCAAAATCTACGTTGTAGCTTCCTCAATTTCCATTAGTCAACCACCGCCTCCACAACGACCATGTTGCTACTGTGTAATCACTAATGCCGCAGCCAATATTCCATTATTGCCATTATTCTTCCTTCGCCACTACCACCACCACTACAGTCGCTCTCACTACCTCCACTTCTACCATCACTACTACCATCGTTCATCATCATCTACGATTATTGTGTTTTTCGAAAAAAACTTTGTGAAACAAATTGCTATGTTCTGTTTTACGGTTATAATGTTTTCTGCAAAACCAAAGCCCCTTGAGAGAACGGGCTGGGCCCAAAACCAAATAGAAACTAGTCTGCACTCGTTGCGTGTTGAACGGGCCATGATTGATTGTTAATTCCTGGTAGAGGAAGTGTTGAAGTACCAACTTGAAGAGAAATTTATTGACAGGATTCAGTGGATTAAAATGTTAGAAGGAAAGAATTTTGTTGTAAAGACGATAATTCTATTTTTTTTATTAAAAAAAAAATCTATTCTCTCACTTAAAAGCAGTGTAGGAAAATGTTGACACTAAACTTAGAGATCGCAGTTGCATTCAAACCTGACTAGCAATGATCTTAGGATGATGCAGGAGGTAAATGTGTTATTTGCCCTTCTTCGATTCCAAATTTAAATAATCTGATTCTCAATAATAATAATAATAATAATGTATGAAAGAGAGCAATATGCTACTTCTAATAATAATGAGTGCTGTGCTTCTTTGTTTATGCTTTGCTGATAATTATTGTTTTAATGCTTCATAATAGTATTTAAGTATTTTCGATCTGAGATCTTTTTTTCTTTCCTTCCAGTACTATTGGATCACGGGTTGATATTTTGTTATATTTCCTGTCATATCCAAATAATATATGTAAGAGTTTGATATATATATATATATATATATATATATATATATATATATATATATATATATATATATATAAGTAAGCTCATCATTAATCTTTTTTGTTTTTAAAGCTAATATTTACACACATGAAAAATTATATTTTTCAATTTTATAATCATAATTACATTTCAATCTTTTAAAAATTAGCAATAATGATAATATAAGAAAATTTGATTACAACAATAAAATATTTTACAAATAAAAAAATTAATAATTAAATAATTGCTATAACATATTAAAAAAACAAATTAAAAAATAGAGAAAAATAAAAACCACTTGAATAGTATTTTATTAAAATATACATGGAGGATAATATAGGTGTATAATTAAATATAAACGTTCTTAAAACATAAATTATAAAACTCAATGATAATTTATTTTCCAAAAATGAACTTATTGTTACTTTTTTCAAAGAATAAACTATTCTGAGGCATTTTAATTTGAAATTAAATATTATTACTAATATGCCATTTCAGATATGGAAGTGATAAATTTGGAATTAAAATTAGAAAGAGATTGAGTGAATATAACATTAAAAAGGAGGAATATTTTGGTAAGAACCGGAAGGAATAGAAATTCCTATTGAAGACGTCGTCGTAGCAGGAATGAAAACGCGCCAGGCTGTGTCAACGATCTACGTAACTCCATTTTGGGCCTCCCGTGACGTCCCCTGAACTTGTCTGCTTTGGTTTCCCCAAATTAGCGTGACTATAACTAAAAGGTAAAAACCCTAGATCAAGACCAAATTTGAAATACCCTTTCATTTTGATCGTTTTGCAATTCAAGAAAGAGATATGGATTGCGAGAAGATTGAAATCTATCACGAGAAGCAAAAATTGCAATTTTGCCTCTTACACGCTCTCAACAATCTCTTACAGGTAAAAAAACAAAAAAAGAAAAAAAAAGAAAAAAGAAACCCATTGTTTTGAGAGTTTATTGCTTAGAATTTAAAACTACAACAGTTGTTGTGTTCATACATTACTCTAGTAGTGCTATTTGGTGTACTTACGAAATGAAGATTTTCAATTTTTTTTTTTTTTTTTGTGTGGTAATTCAGCATCAGGAAGCGTTTACTCGAGCGAGGTTGAATGAAATTGCTGAGAAGCTTGTTCTTGATGATCCTAGCAAGCAAACATGGACACCATTATCTATAGTCTTTAAGCCTCACCATAATTCATTTACTGGAAATTATGACATTAATGTTTTAATTGCCGCTCTTGAAGAGAAAGATAAGACTGTTGTCTGGCATGACCGGCGTAATGCAGCTTCCACTATTGATCTTGATGGGCCTGATGATAGTTTGTTTGGTATTGTGCTCAATGTTCCGGTTAGACGGTACGCTGGGCTTTGGAAGAGTAGGCATTGGATTGCAATGAGAAAGATTGGTGGGGTTTGGTATAACTTGGATAGTGATCTTTCTAAGCCTGGGATCTTTGAAGATACTGAAGAGGTTAGGGGATTTTTGGATTTTGTTATAAGTCATGGTGGGGAGGTTTTGCTTGTCATGAACAAGAAAGAGTGAACTGTTCTTGCTTTAAGTTTTTGGTTTTGGTAGAAGTAGAAACTTTGAATGTCTGTAATTGTAAATCAGTTTCTTGTAATTATACAGAATAATTAAAAGAGGGTTTCGAAGAATTCTTTTTACTAATTTATGCGTGATATGTTCATTTTGCTTCTGGATATTTCTTGGGGAAGTTATGGGATGGCAGTTGCTAAGTGGTTCATATGGTAGCAAAATCTCTTAAGAGGGAAGTTGCTGGTGAACCATATGATGTTTTAGGGGGTGGATAATGTTACACTTGCATTCCGTGTATTTAACTTCTTTGATTTTTTTTCCCCTCTGCATTGCTTTAGTTTAAATGCCAGCAATTAAAGGTATGTACTCCATGGTTTGGACTTGAAATGTTATTCTTTTTCTAGAACTGAATTCTGTTTGGCAGCTTGTTGTGAAGATCATGTTTTCTGATTTTAGCAGTTTCTATACTCTGGCTTCAAAGGATTTGGAAATAGCATATTTTGGAAGCTCTCGCTGTTGCAAATTTGACTCTGCTGCTAACAAAACTTTTCTGTTTAGTGCTGTGGTGTCTTAATCCGAAGTATTTATGCCTGAAATACAATTGATCCAAACTGTCATTGATCATGCCATCTGCATTTGGAACTAGATTCGAATTTTTCCCTGCCCTTTTCTAGTCTTCACGTTTTTGATAGATTTTTGCTCATAAGCTTTCTTGTACAATCATATTAGTTGATTTTTCGTTTAGTTTTCTAGATTGAATTGCAGTTGAAATATGCTAAAGTGTGTTTTATGTTCCTACAAAACAATCTAACTAAGTTGTGGTGATAGTATCGTTTGAATGATTTTGCTAGTGACAGTTTTCTATGAAAAAAGTTACCAATTGCATAAGATCGATCAAATCAAGTAGTGACAGCAGAATAGTTATTTTAACTGTAGAGTTAAATGTCTCTATGTAGATATGAGCAAAAAGTAATTAAGCTGTTGTCACTACAGATTGTCATGGATCGATGGTGAATTCATTTTCATTAAAGCTCAATCGTAATGCATCTTTTGTTATGTTAATCATTTCTTCTTGTATGTATTCTTAGTTCTTACCCAACTTTGGTTTCAATCAACATGAAAGAGTTCTCTTTCTTGATGGTTTTGTATTTGGAAGTTTTTAGGCCGTATGCATCCTGTACTTTAACTGGATTTATATCATGTTAGCATATTGTCTCAACTCTCACCTCCCACATGCATTTCATTTTTGGTGATCTCAAAATGAACTGCATCTTGAATGTGGAAAAGGCACTCCATTAAAAGGGCTATCTCCGGTCAAAAATTCTTATATATATATATATATATATTGAAGATAAACCACCAAGCAGATTTTACCGAAAGGGTGCCTTATCTAGAACCCCTTTTTGAAAGAAGAAGATTAAACGAAATAACTTGGACCATTCACTTTAGAAACTGTAACGGGACCCAGGCCGCCCTGAAAGAGCAAGCAAAATTGATGGTATTGTGGCACAGCTGTGTTGTCTTTAAAGACAACAGATTTTCAAGGTCCTACTCCATGAATATTGTTCAGTTATTTATACTTGTCGTGATGATGCTTTTTATGTTCACACGTAAACTTTGAATTTCATTGTCCCGCACTAAATATCAATACATATCTATCTTATATTTGTAATGTTGCAAGAAGCGTATCTTGCTTGCTTTTTATTTTTATATTTTTCCTGTCACGAGATTCACAAGCCTTTCATGAAGAGAATCAGATCTACATTATTGCTTATTCATTTAGAATATGTGTCGGAGTTCAATTCCTGTGCAGAAATGAAAGAAGAGAAACTGGTCATACCTACCAAGTACTATTATTTAATTATAAGACAGGTGCTAACGTCCTTGTCGATTTTAAAGCAACCACTTCGCTGCATGCTGTTTCATTTTAGGTCTTTTTGGTCATGGAGAATGAAAAATCTCCAAGGAAGATTAGGAAATTAGAACGAAATTTGTCTTTCTCGTGCTAAGTTTGGAATAGAAAACTTATTTTTTTTTAATTTTTAATTTTTAAAATGAATAAGAATAATTATTAAAGAAATAATTCTATCAATTATAATGATAATAAACTAATAAAGATAATTGTGGTAATGATGATGATGATAATAGTTGAATAAAAAGAGGATATGGATGTAATAACAGTAAAATAATAATAATAATGTATTTTTTAAAAATAAATTGATATCATTATAGTAAGAGATGACAACGAAAGAAACATGGTAGTGATAATATAATTAAAAAAAATAACGGTGGTGATAGAGAAAAAGTGTTTACAGAATAATAATAACAATTTTTTTAACCAAACATTTATAAAGTAAATAAAATAAAAATAAAGTTTTATTTTTACTTATTTCATTCCTGGTACTAAAAACACTTTAGGGTCCCTGCTTGCACGTCAGTACAGCAGTGAGTGTTTAAGACTGAATCCTAGAGCGGTGAACCCTCTGAACGGAGCTCGCAAGAATCGAGTTAGAGTCCCGATTGTTTGCAATTTCAATGCTTTGCAAGGTCCCTTTCACATTCAATTTCTTTTGATTGAACTAAGAATTTAGAAGCAATCATACTTTTCTTTCTCAACGAATAACCTTTCCAGCATCTTTTCTTACCCCTCAAAAGGCTCAAACCAACGACCTTTTTCATACTGTTCTAATGTTCTCTTTTATATTATTATCATTTTTTCACTCTCTTTATCGTCATTTGTCATATTTACACATCATCCCATCTACCATAGTTTCCAATCCAGGGAGCACATTCTCTTCTTCTATGTGTTAAGCTTTCACAGAATTTTTTCTCCATCTTCCAACCATATCCTCCATCTCTCACAAAGAGACTAGCTGTGATCATGTCAACAAGGATTAATCAAGTGAAATACAAACCTCCTGGTATCAACCAGAACAAAATATCTATCAAGCGAAACTCTAGTAACAGAGTTTCTGGGAATAGATGGCTTGGTCGAACTTGTGGATTCAGGCTCCTGAAAAGATCAATAATAATGTCACCTGTTAAATTTATCAAGCATCTGGGAGGGAAGGTCGCAAAAGCTCTGTGTTTGGGGAGGCGATCTTCACCTAGAGTTTCTTCTTCTTCAGGAAGATCAAGACCATCTTTAGCTCCTATTGATACTCATAGAGCTGAAGCCATAGAAGATTGCATTGAGTTCATCAACTCTTCTTCTTTGCCTAGGTCAAGTTCTGTTTCTGCAAATCCTAGTTAGATTATAATTACAGCATCAGTTATATGGTCTTAAATTTTTTTTTTGGTTGTAACCCTTCCGGTTAAACTAGTTTTATGTCCTGCGCATTGCCGCGGATAGTCTTGTAAAATCTGTCTTGATATTTTAATTAATTATGAAAATTTATAATGGAAAAAAAAAAGCAACAACCAACACATGTACTAATATGAAGTTATTTATTTGATAAATTTAATAAGCAGCTGAAAACTTGCATAACTATCATATTAGATAATCTTGTAAAATTCAGTCATACCAATAGCAACTGTTATTTTCTTTTCTTTCTTTTTTTTTTTGAAATTATACATTTTAAATCTAAAATTTTTATATAAAGTTAAGGCATGTATGTTGCTGCACATCTTAATTTATGTAGTTTTATAATCTTTTTTTTTCATATTTGATGAGCATAAATATATTTTATGAACCATTTCATACCGAAAAATCACCAATAACTAAATATTTATTATTATTTCAAAAAATATCTTCAATTCACATGAAAATTTATTTTTTAAAAAAAATAGTAAGGCAGGTAGAGAGTAAATTACAAATTAGTCTCTTTAGTTTTGATAAATTAATTAATTAGTGTCTTTTGTTTCAAAAATTAATTATTTAGTCCTTGTATTTTTAAATTTTCTTCTAACTCTATCCTTTTTTCTCATTTTCAATCCATGTTTTTTTTTTTTTTTTGACTTTTTTTATATTTTTTAAAACAAAAAAATCAAATAAATTGAAAATGAGTAAAAAGGATTATGTTACAAGAAAATTTAAAAATATAAAGATTAAATAATCAATTTTTAAAATAAGAAGGGCGGATTAATTTGTTTCTCAAAATACAAGGAATGATTTATTGTACTTGCAAATAGAACTTAAATTTGTTTGATTTAGTCTTTTATGATCCATACCATATTAGTACTTATAAAATAAAATTTAGCTTAATTTTATCGATGTTTATAATTTAAATCCGAAAATATCAAATCAAAATTAAAAACCATTTTTTTTTAAGACTTGATCTCGTTTTTCTAATCATTTGGGACGACAAAACTATTATAAATAAACCTTCGCCGTGAAAACGAACACTTATGTCAATATTATTTGATAATGTGCTCAGATTCCGACCATCGGAGATTTTTCTCTCCTCTCTCAGTTTCTCATGCCTTCTCTCTCCTCTTTCTACATTGAAATTTAAAACAAAAGAAGTTCAGCGACTATTGCATACAAGTCTCAAACTCTAAGACTAAAGTGGAAAAAGTTCCAAAAAATCACTTAAAATATCCGAGAAAACTTCGTCATTTTACGTCTAAAACGTTTAATAAGATGGCGTTTCGTACGTCACAAAGTACCAAAATAAAGGTTTAGGTACAACAAAACCCCATTTTGTTTTAGGTTATTTATACAATGAGAAGAGAAAATAAACAGCAAAACTCCATTTAACTATGCCGCGAACGAAATCTTCTAAGAATCTCGGTTCACAGTGCAACTAATTAAGTATCAATCCTGATGGCTGACTGAACTAGTTGGATGTAGCTGCATTGATGCTTGAATTTACCTTCTCCATTCAGGCAGGCATAATGGAGAAACCAATTTTGAAGATGCCCCGGACAGGCAGATTACTACCATAGGATCAGGTATGTCCGTGTCGGTATATTCATGCATTCCCTAACCAAACCCCATCATGCACTACGTTTGAAAGTTTGATAAACGAGCTAGTGGGTAAACTTGTAAAAGTCGAACATGTGTGCGGTATGATTAGTCAACATATGCGGCACCGGAAGTAATTACTGTTGTATTTATTTTATTTTTTTTTGTTCTCCAAGGTTGGTGTAGCTGAACCAACAGACAGCAACTACTATAGACAGTTTGAGATATTGCATAACCAGTAAAAGAAAGGGTCTCTGTTGAGAGAGCGGTTGGTGATTGGAATGCTGAGTTTAATAGGGCTAAAGTGACACGGATCAATGCGTCCTAGAATTTATGAAAGCTTAAAATTGTCGGAAAAAAAAAAAAATCTATCAGTCTAATTTTAAGATTTTTTAGATTTAATTCGATACAAAATGATTCGATCAGCCAAAGTCATCGCTATGTCATGAGGAGACATGAGTTTAGCTATAAAAAAAAAAAAAAAAGGATTGTTTAGGCTCTTAAAATAAATTTTTTCTACTTTTCGAGATTTTTTCTTAATTTTTGAATTTTTGTATTTGTTTTCTTTTTTGAGTTGGATTAAAGTTTTTTCTTGAATTTTCTATTTATTTATGACTTGGAGGCTGAATATGACAGTTTTTCTTGATTAATAAAATTTTATGAAAGTACATCTCAATTTATTCTAACTTTCGATATTATTTAATATTATTTGAATCAGCGAAATTTGAAACTTATTTCTTAATATTTGTATATAATTTAATAGGTTATAATAAATCAGTATCTAGAATTCGTATTTGAATCTATAAATCAACGATGTCTCTTTTGTAAGCTTCGTCATAAAGCCAACCTGCAGAAACGCTCTTTCCACTGCAGAGTTGCATTAGTGTTCATTCATATATATATATATATATATAGATCACCTCCGTTCTTCTAGTTTGGTACAAGCTAGCTATTAGTCTTATTGCAGAAGTTTGATTGCAATTATCAAGTGGCAGGCAATGAATTAACTCAACTTATCTGCAGATATTGAGCTTTTCGGAAAGTTGATTGTTCAGTTAGCTTTGTTAATTCAATTTTCCTTTTCTTTGTTAGTCATTTCTACAGTCTATCAGTAGCAGCTATTGTATTAGGCCTTTAGCAAACGGGTGCTCCTTGATCAGTTTGTTTGGAATGAATTATTTCATCCCACAAAATAGAAAAGGTTCTGATAAGGATATTGTGCAAAAATGTTCACACATAAAGAAGCAAAATGAACGACCAGATTCAGTTTGAACTTCCAACGGCGACGAAGATTCTTCACTAATCAAACCAGTAGATTCACTGATTGTAATCGTGCTTATTAAATTATCTGTTTGAATTAACACCATGTCTATCAAGCCTATGAAAATTCAAAACTTAATTAGCAATGAGCAAGCCAATTTCTTCGAATTGGAGAGCCGCATATCTATGAAGTAACCTCGAACTTATTTTCTGTTAATTCTAATCAACATATATATTAAAAAAAAAAAAAAAGTTGCAGCAAGAACCACTACATTCAAAACAAAAGACAAACGAAATGGATTGCAGATGGATGTTGAACTGCTCTCACCCCTGCCTCCAATGCAATGGAAGTGAAGATGCAGTTTTTTTCTGGTCAAGTTTGGATGCTTGGAGATGGGAAATTGTCATTTCTGTCAAAGGACTATCTTACTCAAAAGTTTAAGCTATTAAGTAAGACCTCAAAATATGATTTATATTATTCTCTAACACACCTCCTCAAATGAAAATCCTTTGAACTTGACACTTGCACATGTCTATATTATCTTGTGCTTAATTAATTAAACAAGAAAGTGAAGGTGGTAGGATTATCGCATATAAAAGTTTAAGCTATTAAGTAAGGCTCCAAGATATGATTTATATTATTTTCTAATAATTGCAACTGCGAAATATTAAAATAAAAATGATGTGTATGATGCAAGTGGCGCATGATACTAGCTTTGACATTGGATCGGTGGCACAAAATTGAAGAAGTGCTGCTATCATAGTGGTACTGTGGCGGTGCGATGGTGGTGAATTGGTGATGGTGTTTGTAGCAGAGTTTGAGGATGGCTAGGTTGTGGTTATGGGTTTGATCAAGCCCTTCGTTGCAGTGCCCACCTTGCTTATCACTCTCCATACGGCCAGCAATTTCTCCTCAAAGGGATAATTGCAGTATCTCATCAAAAGGTTAATTGCACATTAAGTACAACAACTTTTAACTTTTTTTCAATTGAATATATAGGTTTTAATTTTTTCTATTTAACTAACAATCAAGTATTTTTGTCTATCTTTAAAATACTAAATTATTATTTTATTTTTTTCGTTAGAGAAAACTTTTTCTCTAAATGTTCACAAACAATGAATCTTGTTAATGTATTTTTTACGTAATTGAGTTTAGTTTCGGGATTTTATTATTAAAAAATAATGTTTCTTTAATTATTTATAAAATTTTGAGGAGAAAGTTTCCTCCAAAAAAAAAAAAAATATATATATATATATATATATATATATATATATATATATATATATATATATATATATATATATATAGGTATTTGGTATATTGAGGACAACAAATACTTATTAGTTAGTGAAGAAATTGATGAAAATACTTAATTGATAATTTTGAAAAAATTAATGTATTTAAAAAAAAAAGAAATTCAAGGACTTGATTGAATAAAAAAGGACGAAATAGAAATTTTGTATTTTGGGATAACATAGACTTATCACTTGATGGAGAAATTGATGGAAATAATTTATTAACACTTTTAAAAAAATCGATTTATTCAAATATTTATTTTCATTTATTTTCAGTTTTGAAAAAATCAATATATTCAAATAAAAAATTAAAACATACATATATTAATGTACTTGTACATTTATCTCTCCCATCAAATATTGTATGGTGAAAACCCAGAAACAAAATGGAGTTGTATTATTTTTAACTCTCTGGCTGACCTAGATATGTTGATTTGCAAAATGAACCAGTATCGGCTAGAATAATTCTGAAATCCTGGATAGCCTAGGATGAGCTATCTAGAGTATTAATGCAGTGTTGACGGCTGCCAATATATTCCACATCAAACTTCATGTATTTTGGGCTAAAATGATCCTGGAAAATATTGGTAAACCAGGAGGGTACTAATTTCTGTAGTATTGAGTAGACAGTCGTGAAGCTGTGATGGCAGAGGAGTATCTGAGACCCCTATCCGATCCTATCCTATCCAGCAGATGGCAATTCAGTAGTTATGCTCCCATGTCAAGAATTGAAGTTTCTAATTAAATCATTTAGCAATGATCACTGAAAGTTTTTGAAAAATTTCTTTAATCTTCTTTCTTTACCAGGTTATATTAGCTATTGCTCTGGCAGCAGCTATTTCTTCTTTGAAAATCTCAGTTTGATGTCGCTGGGGTTAAAAAGTTTCTGTAATTCATTGGAATTTCTATGTGCCATTAACCATTAAATTAATACATCTAATAAGTAACCAATTGTTTCAGAATGAATTCATAATTCTTAAGACTGGAAGAAAAGAAACCAAAAAGAGTAAGTAGTGTGCAAGAGACAGAAACGTACAACTTAGGGTTCAAGAATCATCAAATGCAGACAGATAAAGATTAACAGACAAATTTAATCTTTCTTTGCAAACAGTCCACCAAAACCACCATTCTTCTTCTTCTGGGGAACAGCAACAGAGTTCCTGCGGCCACTGGTGGTGCCACCACTGTTCTTCTCCTCAACTTTGTTGAGGATGGGGTCAGTCTCATAGAACTGATCTTCCTTCAGCAAACTCCCAATAATCCAATCAAGAAGCCCCTTCTCCTCTTTGCTTCCTCCTGCTCCTTTAGCTGCTGTGGCTGCATACACTCTAACAGAAGGAGCAGCAAAGGCAATGGGAAGAGAAGCCATTATCTTATCTACTAGCGCAACCTTTTTTTTTCCTTCTTTGCCTTTGATTTCTCCAAAATGTGGTAGCAAAGACAGCAGTGAAACGAAAATGATTATATGGCTAAGGTAATATAATTTTCCTGGCTGTTGGGGTAGTGAATCTTGAGCCGTTGGATGGGACTTGAGAGTTGTGGGAAGTGTTTGCAGCACGAGCTCTCCACAAGTGGCTTATCTTCAACCATTTTCTATTGGTTTCCAATTTTCCTTCTTGAGAGGTACAAAAAATGAAAGATGAGAAAAATAGGAGATATGGATAGAGGTTTAACACGTGGCAGCATGGTAACCCATGCAATTTGATGATGATTTGGTTTCCTGCATACCTTAAGATTCATCACTGTTGCGGCATGTCTCAGTCCCATCTAGTTTTAACTTTCTTCTACTCTAAAAAACCTGTTTTTGTAAAGCAAAACACCCAAATAGCATGTCTACTTGCCTACACATGTGGGTTTTTCTGAAAGACAGTTTTTTTTTAAAAAAAGCACTTGATTGGCTAGAGAAGTACTGGTGAATGTCTATTAAAAAGGAAAAAAAAAGAAAGAAAAAAAAAACGAAAAACCAACGGAAAAACGAAGCTTCACGTTTTGAATAGGATTATTTTGAGAAGTACTCAAATATTCAATAATTTAAGGCCCTTTGATACGATCTACATGGAAATTTTGCTTAATTTCATCTACTAGGAAATGAGGGATTGGAAAAAATAAATATAAAAAAAAATTGTTCTTTTTTTTCAAAATAAATAAGAAGTGTTAGAAGTGTTTTGTAAAATTCGTTAATTGCTGGTAATTATAGATGAATAATGTTAAAATTATTAAAATTTTTGACTAATTGAGCTACTTATGATTAGTAAAATAGTATTTCAAAAATCACCATTTGATAATCGCCAAAAATTGTGATAAAAAGTTATTTTTTAAATAAAATAGTACTAATTCAAAAAGAAAAAGGAAAAAGAAAAATGGTGTACGGAAGGATACCGTCTTGTCTGGAGGTGAAAAAAGACATGGTCCACAGAGAATATAACAAAGGCTCGGCCTGTTCTCTGGGATTACTCTGATTAGAATAGAAAGATGGGTTTTAGAGACCAAAATTAGAACAGATTAAAACTGAGCCCAAACCATTACCAAAAGTGGAACGAATTTTGGGATTTCAGAATAGTGTATTAGTTTTTTGGTTCTTTTATTGGGCCCCCGATAATAATAAGCACAAGGAACTAAGGCAGATATTACTCAATTTAATTTTGTGTATTAAAAAAAAAAAACACATTTAAGACGAGAAAAGATAATTCGATTCTAATAATGATGTTAAAAGAAACTGTGCTCTAAAAACACAATAATAATATCAAAAAATCATTATAAATCATTTTTTATACTCATGGTTAGGGTTCACAATCAGCTATAAGCAATTGATGCGTAAATGCATGATTTAAATCCACAAGTAGCCATTAGGTATAGGTTCGATCCAATGAGTGAAAGTGCAAAGCATCACATGCAAATATATTTATTATGACTTGAGATGGTACAAAGTTGTTGTAAAACCCACATTTCCTTACCTTATAACCCATATTGATTATTTAATTAAGGGCAAAAGTTACTCTACTTATGGGTGGGTAATCTAACGCTGACTAAGGACTTCTTATTAAATCAAAATACACAAATTAATAATTTTATTGCACTTACTTTTTAAAACCTTTTATTTCGTCAGGATGTACACCAAAAAACGCTGATTTTTTTTTACCCAACAAATGCTAGCTGGTCTAGCCCTAGCTAGTTAGTGATGCTTTTGAAATTATTTTCACAGTATATTCTAAGAGTCACCGATTCACCGTGGGGTACATGCTATAATTATGGAATATAAGCGGTCGCTGCATAGGATATTCGCAAATATATAAACATTATTGCTATGATACAGCAATAATAAATATTCATATAAATATTTATATATTTTTTATATCATTATTATTTATAATTTTTAAATTTAATTTATCATTTAATATGAGAAAGTAAAAAGATGGTGCAATTGATTCAATAATTTTTTTATTTTTAATTATTTTTTTAATTCTAAAACCTATAAATAAACTTAATTGTACTTAATTAATTTATATATAAGTATTTTGTAAATAATTTATATATAAGTATTTTGTAAAGATTAAAAGAATTATTTAGAGTTTTTATTTCTTATATTTATTTTATTTTACAACGAATTCATTTATTTTTTTCTTTAATTCTATTGTTATTATCATTTCTTTTATAACCTTTACCCTTTTTGTCTTTTAATTTCTCTTATATTTTATTCTAATAAAAAAAAAACTCTTATATTTCAAGTGTGAACGCAATTGATCTTAAGTCACTTAAATTGATCCCAAGTAACTTAATAAACTAATTGATAGCTACGTAGCTAGATGGCATTCATCAACTTTTTCCCTGGCTGGTTGTAACTGTAAGGTTACAGGAAGGTACTTGACAATGACCCACTTTCTTGTTTCTTTAAGCCAAACGTACTACAGCGAAGGAATGCCGATTTCCCACTTCATTAATTTCCTACTTTTATAAAATTTGTTTATGTTGCGATGTGGCACGCATAGGCTGTGCGTGTCCTAAGAATGGTTGAGATTGTTGTGGAAATAACAGTGAAGTGCTAACAATGAAAGGGAACATTGTTTAATTAATATACAATTTTTCTTTTGAAAATGATTAATATGGTTTGTGCAGAAGGATTGGATTTCAGCTAATATTCAAGAGTTGGTGTTAGTTTTCCCCAAGAAAAGGCAACAGGAAACTTTTGGGTCCTCAATTTCTTTCTTTCGACGCTTCCTCTTCTTAGAACTACTAACTCGAGAGTAAAATTAACTTCTTTACATGTCTCAGCTTATTTTTCGTTGTATGCTTTAGATTTTTACCAGCTTGTGGAACAATCCCTTTTTCTCATTGCGGGTAAACCGTCTCTAACAACTCTCTTTCTAGAACATAGTCGGCAAATTAATTGTACGAATGCACAAGAACATGTCCCTGGTCTTAGTGATATAGCCGAAATTAACAATTATACAAGAGAGATCTTAAGCTAGCCTTGCATTACTCTTCGCAACTTGGACATTATTATTATAATTATTATTATTTTCCTCATGACATTCATAGATTGCGTTCTTGACAGACAAATTTTCCAACAGAACAAGTAGCAGGAATTAATTTTTCTCATACACAGAGATAGCTAGAATGGCTTTTTGAAAAACTATGAATATGTAATCAACCCCAACATTTTGAATCCCCTTATTATCATTGAAGATATTACAAAGTTGATTGACTATATATGCCATACGTTCAAATTAAATATTCTTATTTGGAATACGCAAAAATATAATTATGTGCCAATCTCCATACTCGAGAAATATTATATGGGATTCTTTTATGAAAATCAATTCTAAGCAACAGCCTATGCATGTGATTAATTAGATGTCATAATACCTTTCTTAAGAGATGAGTATCATTTTCTTATTCGTCTAACGAAACCTATCGTTTTCGTAGAAAATACCGTCATTCTGTTGAGAGCGTATGTATTTTTTTTTTTTTTTTGGTTACGTGAGAGAATATGTGCGTATAGCTGGTGTTGTTTCTTGATAAAGATTATCAAGGACAAAAAGTCCTCAACAATTGGGATAAAATATTTAACCATTCCACATTTAGCTGGATCAGAAACTTGTTGGAGTCAGTTTCCCGGTACCAAGGCTCTTAGCCAATGAAGTATTTGGCATATCGATTATTGCACCAACTCGGATGACTAGAAATAATACCACTAAAATTAATTTGCATGGTTTTCTTATGCCTTCTCTCTCACCGTTCCTATCAACCCAAAAGCGACCTACGTGCACAATTTTTCCTAACAACTGCTCCTAAACTTTCTTTTAATGCCATATTATATATAACACCCTTTGTTCCATCCCTCTCATTAAGTTCCACTGCAGCCCCTGTCCAAAACAACACACCAACCTTGACATGGAAACCTTGCCTCTCCTCTTTACCCTAACAGCTGCTACATCAGTTTATCTCCTATGGTTCTATCTTTTAGCTCGTAAACTTACCGGCCCAAAAGTATGGCCTCTAGTGGGCAGCCTTCCATTTCTGTTCATGAACCGGAGAAAAATTCACGATTGGATTGCTGGTAACCTCCGTGCAACTGGTGGTGTTGGAACCTACCAAACATGCACAATAGCAATTCCTTTCTTGGCTCGCAAACAAGGATTCTACACAGTCACTTGCCACCCCAAAAACATCGAACATATTCTTCGAACCCGGTTTGATAATTATCCCAAAGGTCCCGATTGGCAAACCGCGTTTCATGATCTTTTAGGCCAAGGGATCTTCAATAGTGACGGAGAAACGTGGCTTATACAACGTAAAACTGCAGCTCTTGAGTTCACTACTCGGACTTTAAGGCAAGCCATGGCTCGATGGGTTAACAGGACAATCAAGAATCGTCTATGGAACATTTTGGACAAGGCAGCTACAGAGAAGCTTTCAGTGGACTTGCAAGATTTATTGCTTCGCTTAACCTTCGACAACATATGTGGACTCACATTTGGCAAAGATCCAGAGACTCTCTCACCAGAAATGCCAGAAAATCCATTTGCTATTGCCTTTGACACGGCCACTGAAGCTACTCTACAGAGGCTTCTTTACCCTGGTCTCTTATGGAGAGTGGAGAAGCTTTTAGGAATTGGAGCAGAGAAGAAATTAAAGAAGAGCCTCGAAGTTGTGGAAACGTACATGGATGATGCCATAGCAGCACGCAAAGAAAACCCGTCAGATGATTTACTGTCGCGATTCATGAAGAAGAGAGACGTTGATGGTAACCACTTTCCCATCTCTGTTCTGCAAAGAATTGCTCTCAACTTTGTCCTTGCTGGTCGGGACACCTCATCTGTTGCTCTTAGCTGGTTCTTCTGGCTAGTCATGAACCATCCTGAAGTCGAAGCAAAGATAATCAAGGAAATATCAACTATACTCACAGAAACACGTGGAAATGATCACCAGAAATGGCTTGATGAGCCTTTGGTCTTTGATGAAGCTGATAAATTGGTTTATCTCAAAGCAGCATTAGCTGAAACATTGCGTTTATACCCATCAGTACCAGAAGATTTCAAATACGTAGTAGCAGACGATGTTTTGCCTGATGGTACATATGTACCAGCTGGTTCAACTGTGACATACTCTATTTATTCTGTTGGGAGGATGAAGAGCATATGGGGTGAGGACTGCCTGGAATTTAAACCAGAACGATGGCTATCACCAGAAGGGGACAGGTTTGAACCACCCAAAGATGGCTACAAGTTTGTGGCCTTTAATGCTGGCCCCAGGACTTGCCTAGGGAAGGACTTGGCTTACTTGCAAATGAAGTCTGTGGCTTCTGCTGTGCTGTTGCGCTACCGATTATCACTGGTTCCTGGTCACCGTGTAGAGCAGAAGATGTCTCTTACATTGTTCATGAAGAAAGGGCTCCATGTGTTCTTGCAACCTCGTGCTCTTGCATAGGAGTGTTCTCAACATTTTCAAATTTCCCGAGTTTCTCTCGCTCAAACATTGCACTGCATGGTGTTTAAAGGAGACAGGGTCCATCTATAGTCATTCAGTCACAAATCATGGGGGTATTACTGCCTATGATTCTGTTAAAGGGTCATTTTAAATTGTTTTTTGTTTTCGTTTTTAAAATTTCTTGTTCATTGATGGGTTCTGAATACAGTTGCTCATCTAGATTGGAGGTTATACAAGCCATTCAAAATTAAGAGCGATTGTCGCGTAATGTTGTATATTCTATATCCAGCAGATGTTGCTTTCATATGATTCTGTTAATAAAAGAAAAATTATACAGTTTACTAGTATTAGCTCTTGCTAACTTCAACATATGATGCTTAAGAATCTGCAATAAATTTCCTACCCTACTGCTATTATAGCTTTGTGAGTACAATCACAAATCACAAATGCGGATGCCTGGTTGATAGGTTATGGAATGTCAAGCTGTAAATTTAAATACATATAGATGCATGGCTATTTATAAGTGATTAAAAGGAATGAGCTTCACTACTTCAGTTGATCTGTCATATTTCCCTCATAAGGCTGTCCCTTCGGTAATGGGGTTGGAGTCGGTCGCACAAAGGGGGATTGGTAAGCTACCTGACTTTTGGATAAGCTGATCATATCTGACTACACACAAGACAAGTCTAATAAATGACTGCCATTTGAAAGTTGCATCAACCTGGACAAAAACTAATTCGAAAAGGAAATTCGCACACAGTTCTATCAATTTCTCTCAGTAGGACCACCGAATCAAGCTCACTCTTCAACAGAAAAAACACTTTTACAGAGTTACCCATTGTCCCACAGATTATGCCAAAAGATGTATAAACGAAAACAAAAAATTACAGTAATCAAATTTTACTTGGATTGATAATTAAATAATATAACTATAACAACAGCAAAAAGAAATGAAGAAACAGACTCAAAATTGATTCATTGGGTATTGAATGTAGCATTTACAATCAGGGTTGGAGATACTGTACAGGTATATTCTTCATTGAGATGTGTGCAACAGTTTCAATTGTGCTAGAGGCCATGCATGCAAGCAACTCTAGATTTGAGCTCAGTTTTTGGCTTTCAGAAATTTTGCCAGTTCTTCAAGCTCGAGAGTCTCATATGAAATTTGTCTAGTTGTTCTTCCATTTAATCTCGTTCTCAATTTCACTTTTTCCCATTCAAGGAACTGAACCTTCTCTATTGGCGCTGGAATCACTGGGATTGAGCTGTCACCTATGTTGATTTCCATGAAAGTTAATCCAATATTTTCTCACCAGTTGAAAAGAGGTTCCAGACCACTGTTCCAACCAAGTAGAGCCCAACTGAAACCTCAAAGACATCATCCCAAGAACCTGAGAAGGTAAAGCACAAGAATTAGATGGTATAAAGTTCAGTATCTCAAATTTCAATAAAGAAGGTGAAGAGGGAGCCACAAAGGAATGGGCATGTAAAAATTAGTTTCTGAAGTAGACAAGAGCCTGAATTTAAAGGCAACTGTCAGCTAAGCCAATGAGAATCTAGCAGGGTATTATAGTGCATTTCTCTGTTGTTCTCGTTTCTGCATTGATAAAATGAGGGCCATGTTCACAGAAGTTTTCTTATCAGAAAATCCTATGGAAGCCTTAAAACAGCTTCTAAAAATTTGGCACTCTATTCTAGAGATTGAAACAAATACATATTACAGCTAGAGAGATTGAACCTTGATCCCAGATAAATGTTACTCCAAGAACACAACTTCAGTGTAAAATAGGCTACATTTATGACGAATAATGCTAGGGGCGACAATCATTAAATGGTCCTCAAGAGTGGGCTTTGAATGCTCTCGTGTTGGGAAGGGAACATAATCGATCATGTTCCTAATTATCTAGATTAGGTGGGATAAAATAAAATAGCAGGGATTTTAGATTTTATCATCTTTGACATATGCTAAAATTATGCCCATTCATTTTGAATTTGATGATTTAGATTTAATGAACATGACAGTATGACAGAAAGGAACATGAAAGGATCTCAATCTAACAGAGTGAACCTGCCATACCATCATATTAAATAAATCAGATTTCATCAAATTACAGGTTGCCACCTTAGTATTAATATAAATTTAGTAACACTGTTAGTATACCTACACCAGAAAATGGAGGCAATCCATTTTATTTTATTTTTTTTCACTTTTGGTTTATCTGGTTTGTTGAACCTTACACTAAACAGTGGAAGGCAACCCTCTTCGTCCTCTAAACCTATTCTAGAATTTGAATATGAGACCTCCAATTTGAAAACCGCAAGTTCAACCATCAAATTGTCCTCTTGGAAACTAAGACTTGACTCTAATACACAAAGTTAAAAACTGTCTTCAAAATCATGCCGAGGTTAATTTGAACAAAAACTCAAGCCTTATAACTGGTCTTAACTAAAATTGATCCAAATCCAAGACCAGAATGACTGAGCTAGGAGTGATATGGACAACTTTGGCTTTCAAGAAAATTTCAAATTTTTTTCTTGCTTTTCTTCAAAGGTGGTATAGCAGACATTCGTGATTTGTCTTACCAGCAGCATATAAATGCCAATGATGAGTTCTTACCATGTTGCAAGATGTATCCAGTTGCTGCAGTTCCAAACACCCCTGCCAACACTCCAGCTGTATTGGATAGACCAAGCAACACTCCCTGGAAGATAATTAGAAATAAAAATAAAAACTATTTATCTTTCCGAGGAAATAGAAGCAAGGAAAGGATAACGATACAACAGGAATAACTATGCAACATCAAATTTCAAGGACTTCTTGAAAGGCAGCCAATGGCAGATGATTCATGACAACAATTAAAACACATGTAGTAGCCCCCAACACTAAACAAGCCCAATGTTGGGCATCAACAGACAACAGCATTACAAGGACTGATACTCACAGAATACCGAGGAGCAATATCTTGATGGTTTGAATATAGACCAGACTGGGAAAATGCATCAGTTCCCTGTTGAACAAAAAGAAGCAATTAGTTAGAGAGCAGAGAGTTTTGAAAAAAATAATCTCATTCCACTCAAGCGAAAAAGAAAACCAAAAAAACAATAAAACTCTGGACAGATTTTTCTCTCAGAGTTGGGACAACTGAATTCCATGGATGGTCAGCTGCATAAATAGAACTTACGTGACTAACAAAGAGCAAACAAATAAAACATACAAATGGTAAACAATGTGCAATCCCTCTGCACGTTAATACATATACTGTCTATTGCTACTTAAATTTGAAAAGTTGAACAGTGCATGCAAGAACTATTAGTTGTTCATGTTTTAATGTAAGAATCAAACCTGGCTGCATGCCATGCAGAGAACAGCCATTGCAGGAGAATCAACATGGCTCAACTGAGTTAGGAAGAAGGCAGGGCCGAGAAAGCCAATTGATTGCATGATCTGTTAAGGAGAATAGAAAGAACGTTTGATTATCCATAGCGTTGAATGAATGAAGAAACTAAATGAAATAAATAGTGCTTAAAAGCTCTATTATAGAGCATGTTCCAATAGCCATATAGAGTTGAATTAATAAACTACATAAAATAAATAGTCTCAAAAGCACATAGAGCAGAGACGCATGCGAGAGAGAGAGGGTTGGGGGTTTGGTGAATTAAGCTCCACCATTAGTCATACCTTGCGAACCGTTGTTATGGATAAACCTTTGCTCACAAGGGTGTCTGCAATCCATCCTCCCAAATTTGCAGAAAATGCCATTGTAAGCCAGGGTAAAACACAGATAAGCCCAGAATCTGTAAGATTGAACTTCAAGACCTGTATGACCAAAAGGAAATTGTGCTCAGCAGTTTTATTAAGAGAAAGGTTGCTTCTGTAAGCAATAAAATTGCAAAGCTGCATCATCTCTCTGCCGGATGTCAAGAAAATGATAGAAAAACTGTAGGTCAAAGAGACAGTAGCATATACTTCATTGTTTCAATGAATCATCAACAAAATTTGACAGGATGAACGTTAAGGTACTGGATAGATGAATTGAAAGTAAAATCCTTATCTTATAACAAGCACTCTTTCACGATTTCGTTCCTACCTGTACCTCACATATTACAACATGCGAAAATAATATCAACAAGATGTTTAAAATCTTTGCCAATCTATAACTTGTAAAGGGTTGCCTAATAAGGAGCAAGTGATTCACTCAACGTAATAGTTTCTAGGTCAGCCATCAAATAGTAAGCAGCAAATCACAACACCCACAAGTTACAGTGTTCAAGCAACTGTACATGGTTTCCCATTCATTCTTAACGCTTTTCTATTTACAAAGACCTTGAACGTACATTATTTGTTGCTAATGTTTACTCCATCGACTTCTCTACCCATGTAACTGCTAAGACAAAATTACTGATAGCAACTCATGCACAACAAGACCAATGCTAGTACAAATGTCACATGAACATTTTGCACTCTGAAAATCCTCAAGATATCCAATAGGATATTCTTTCTATGTTACAACAGGCACAAATCATCCAAGCACATGTTGAAAAGAAAGACTTACTTGGTTATAATACGTTGGCATCCATGTCAGAAGAATAAATGTACCCCAGTTGTGACAGAAGTGAGACACTATCAGAGCCCATACAGGGGCTTTCGACAAAATTAGTCCCCAAGGGATCGTTTCAACAGGTTCCTTGGAAATACTGTTTGCAAGAATCAACTTCTTTTCTTCAGGCCGCAGCTGAGGATCGTCGAGAGGTGAACTGTGTGCCTATAGATAGAAACAATGAGGAAAGAACATCTTTAAAGATGGCACATTTTTATAGGGGAAAGTGAACCCTTAATTAAAAGCAGATTGTACAATCTCAAATCATAATTTTCATGGACAGAAAAATAAAAGGCTATACAGAAATTTAATCATCTAGATTATCAAACTTCTTAAATATGAAGAGCTTCTTGTAATAGTATTAGAATTTGAATTTCTCTGAAACTTCCAAAAGTTGGCAATAAACATTCCAAATGACAAATAATAATAGTCTACAACTACAAAGTACAACCGGCAAATTTTACCTTACTGAGCCATGCAGCAACCCAAACTGTTCCTAGAGAACCAAAGGAGTAAAAGACCGATGGCCATCCAAGCTGATGTATTAAGAATGGTGAAAAGGCCAGGCCAGTGACTGATCCAAGGTACATCCCACTGTACACAAGCGCTAATGATCTACTCCTCTCTGATACAGGAACCCACTTGGACAGAATGTTGTTCATGGCAGGCATCGCAACACCCTGAAACGGTACCAAACTAACTTAACAAACATCCAATGTAGGATATGACACAAAGGCATGTTCGTCATACACTTTTTTAGCTAAATAACTTACCTCACCAATCCCCATGAAAGCACGAACAACGAGTAGGAAGGGCAATCCAACTTTAGCAGCAACAGGTGTAAGAGCAGTAGCGATGGACCACCAAACGACGCCAAATCCCAAAACCATCTTCCCGCCCACTGTGTCCGCCCAAATTCCACCAGCAATCTATCAATTAGAACAAAATACAAAATAAAATTATTAGTAAACAAAAACAAATTAATTAGGAGAAAGCTTGTTAAAGTTACCTGGGTGAGTAGGTAGCCCCAGAAAAAAGAAGACTGAATCAAACCGACAGTGGCCGGGTTCCAATTGTTCTCGGCCGACATTGGAAGTATTGCAATGCTCATGTTTACCTGCCAAACAGCATCTGCTCATAATTTACTTCTTAATTACTCACAAATAAAAAATGAACTTAAAAATTCAAAAAATTTCCATAATCAAAATTAGAGTAACATTTTCTCCTCTTTATAATAATTCAACATAAATAAATAAATAAAATCAAAGCAAATATGAATGAAATGGATGACAACATACTCTATCCATATTGCAAAGAAGAAAAGCCGAGAAACAAAGAATCACAATCACCCAGCGTTTAGGGAACTCTTCCCACCACGGAACCGTAGTATCCAGAACGACATCGTCCAAAGCATCCTTCTCCAAGTTCGCCGATTCCGGAACCGACTCCAATATCTCATAACGCTCCGACTTAACATCCGCATACGCTTTCCCTGTCTCACCCCGACCCGAATTCCTCACCGAGACCCCAAAAACACAGCACCTTTGAGCAGTGCGCAACCGGACTCGGAAATTAAGCCGTTCTCTAGGTCTTAATTCGTGGCCGAAACATTTTTAGGGGACGAGATATCGGGAGGGGATCTTAGAGGGCGAAAAGGAGGGTCAGAGAAAGAGTAGAGAAGAGCTCTAGGGTTCATGGTGGTGGTGGAGGTGGTGATGGTGCCGTGAGGAAGTGAAATTGTTAAGTGCTTTCACCACATTTCAGCAAGAGAGAAAGCAACGGAAGTAGAACAGGATACTTTAAGCTTAGAAAAACTCTCTTCCGAGTTTTGGAGAGTAGTGGAGGGAGGGGGAGGGATATTTATGGGGATTGGTACTGGTTTTGACATGTGTCCTCTTGTGATTGAAGAGGATTGGATGACGAAAGGGCGGGGAGTTTAACGGAAAACAATATCAGTTGGTCGTTGGGTTTTATTGTATTTTTATTTTATGGGCTAACGAACAAATCAAGTTTGGGGCCCATTAGTAATTTGCTAATTTTGAGTTGGACGGGCTTTGGTCAGTATCAACCCCAATGATGAGCTTCTGTTTGGATCCAAACTTAAGACACTAGAGTCGTTTTTTCTGGCCTTGTGAGCAATAGTTTTTGGCTCCTGCTCCCAACGTTTTCTCCTACTTGTTAATTAAGCTTGATCCAGAGGAAAAATGGGAGCCATGATCATGAAGTAAATGAATTCAAATAATGATAGAGAAAGAAGCTTCTTTACAGATTATTTTATATTGATATTGCAATTTGATGTGATAGGTGTTAAGTGGGTGATTAGTAATTTAGTGATTCACTTGATTATATATTAAATATCAAATTTAGCAAAAATGTTATCGTTAAATTTGGTTTGATTCGCTTGTTCAAGTTGTGTCATTGAGTTACCAAAAAACTTATAGTCTAGTGATAATGATATCTTACGATAAAAAATCATAGATTCAAATCCTAATAAACTGTTTTACTATAATTTGATGTGTTAAAAAAAATTTATTTTATTGTGTTGCATTCGATGTTTTCATCAGTATTGCCACAGTTAAGGCAAGTTTCTAATGTGTGTTTGTCATGACAATGTCTCCATTACAAATTCCTATTACAATTAATAACGCTTATGTGCTTCAGATATCTTTCCAGGTACTGAATGGGGGATACAGAGTCCCATTTCATACCCTCTTTGCCCTCCTCTTCTAGGATACTCCCCTTGTTGGACCCCTGCATGCCTCTATCCTGATTTTATTGTTTGTTCTTTTCTTTGTAGTTTGCACCACTTTATCGAATGAAAAAATTAAAAAGTAAAAAATTAAGGGGCAAGAAGTTGGAGATAATTACAACTATTCCCTCTATGTGCTACAAATTTCGTGATGCCTTTATCACTCTGGAAAAAACAATTAAAAAAAAAATCCCAAAATTGCACGAAAATGATAAAATAACTTGCCATAAATCCGTACGAATTAATTATAAGTACAAGGATAAGCCAGGTATATTACATAGAGCCTGTATATGAAAAACTCTTCATGCATGATTCCTCACGACACCCAAAACCTACCACCATGCACCTTTACCAGCCCCCACAATGGTCAGTCACACTCATGAAAACACCTTTTAAATTCTTGTTTATTTTTCTTATCTGAAATTAGCAAGAAGCCTCCCATAAAGAAGAAGAAAAATTGGAAACTCTGGGTCAGAGCCATCAATGGCATCAAAGTTACAGGCCCAGTAAGTGGGTCCGAACAGATGCTTCATTAGGTCTCCCTCGCTAAATAATGGAGCCACAAGCTCTGTCATCATCAAAATGGCCAGGCTTCATGTCCCAGCTGTCCCGTCTCTTTGATGACGGAAAGTACAAAGGATACTTTTTTCCATTTTGATGATCTTTGTAAGGGTGAGATGACCATGGACTATAAGGTATAAAGTGAAAATGAAGTGCCATAGTTCTTTATTTTTTCTTTTTCACCCTAGTATAATACACTCTCAATTATTGTAACAGATGCAATGACTTGATACCCAAGGTTTTACATGTCAATGTGCAAATCGACAGCATCCTCTGTACAATAAATAAAGAATTCAAAAGAGGGAAAACAAAAAAGAAAGAAACGAGAAACGAGAACGAACCAAGATGTAATTAACGTGCCAGTGCAAATCATTATCTTTAATATCAATTTTCATGGATTTGCGCTCATAAGTAGATTGTCCAAATTAGAGAGAATTAAGCGTGCCATCAATTTGGTTTCCCACTTTCCCAACAAAAAATAAATAAATAAAAAATCTTCTACAATATTTCATAACCTCTAATGGGATATTGATTCATGTATAAACGGGAATATCATGCGTTGCAAAACATCAAAAGGATTATATAAACACGTTGCCCTTTTTTTTGTTTTAACGAATGTCATAAAAATTGTATCATTTTCGAATTCTAATAAATTTCCATCACATTCATAAAAGAAAGTTTAGCAATATCACACTTCTGCCGTGTGTAAATACGTATTATTTTCTCATGACAAATTATTCAACATACTGTCTCTCTCTCTCTTTCTCTCTCTAGATCTGTCCATCGTACACACAAACAGAGAAGTGTAAGGAGAAATATTTTACACTGGATCAAGAAGCTTGTTTATTGCCACAAGCGAACAATTATATTTTCTTCTTAATATAGTTCAAAGCACACATAGTTTATCATATGGCCATTTTGATTAAGTTTAGAATGGACAAATTAGGAGTCGTTTGATATTATTCCTGTTCTTAATTTTGACACCTAGGTGGCTGCTCGATTATATATATATAAGTAAAATTGATTTCTAAAAATTAGGATAAATATTGAAACGTGGGGAAAAATATGCAAGGAAAATGAGCACATTTGGAATTTTGAGGGGGAATATTTGACCATTGAGGAGAGTGGGTGCATGCAATTAGCATTCAAGAAGATATTAAAGAAAAATAGTTAATGGTAACTCTGCAGTTAACGCATTGTAAAATTTGATGTTGATACTATTGAGAATGTTTAAATCGTGACTTTGAAATGGAACATTTTGTAAATCATAGGGAAAGTATCATTATCAGATAAGATTATGTTGGATATCATTTTGCCGTTTGTGTGTGACTGTGCGATAAAAATGATAGTTGGGTGTGCGGAACACAAATGATAGCATTAGGATTTATTTTTTTTAAAAAAAGAAAAACTAAAATTAAATTAAAAAGGTCACCAACCGCCCTAGAAAGCATAACTCAACATCTTTAGTGACTACTGTCGGCAGCTTTCTTTTACAAGGAGGCAGGTAAAAGGGGAATAATAGATAACAGTGAAAAGGTTCAAAAGAAGTAAAGTACAAGGAAATAGCGACGGAGGCCTTTTCTTTACTACCCGAGTCAACAATATGCTTAAGGTCAATTTTCATTATTGACCTGTTTGTTATCAACACTAGTATTTGACTGTTTGGATCTTTAGAAAATGAAACGATATATATATATATATATATATATATTTAAAAAAATCATAGTAATTTATTATATAAACTATCTTTTTTTAGAGAGAAGATGATCATTTGTTAAAATTTTATTCTAAAATTCATACATAGAAAAAAAATCATATTTTTTAGCAAATAAAATTGTATTAAAATTAAAAATTAATTGAATGAAAATTTCTATAAAAAAATGACAAATTAAAAGAATTAATTTTAGACAATAAAATATATGATATATATATATATATATATATATATATATGTTCATTTAAAAGTATGAAACACATCACATATATTTCTTTCTTGCTATTTTGTGTGGAACACTTAAAAATAACAATCAATTTTCTATAATTTTTTTGCAAAAAAAAATTAAATTAAATTTTATAAAAATAAAAAATAAAAATTAATTAAATGAGAATTTTCATAAGAAATGACAAAATGAAAGAATTAATTTTAAACAATAAAAATATTATAATATGATGTGTGTATACTTTTAAAAATATGAAACACATCACATATATTTCTATCTTGCCATTGTGTGAAAAACTTAAAAAATAACTATTAATACTCTATAATTTTTTTCCAAAAAAAAATTGAAATATTGAAAAAAAAAATCAAGCTAGTGAAATAAAGTTCAGAATTGAAACAAAATGTGTAAAAAAATAAAATAAAAGATCAAAGTGTAATTTCATAACAACTTGCGTATTAAATTCTTTAAGAAATCTTAAAAAGTACAATAATGCCATAATATAGTGAAATGAAGAGTGTAAATGAGTCTCAACAAATAATGTAAATAAACTTGGATAAATAGTACTTAAAATAATATTTTGAATAGTAAATAATGGGGTTTTTTTTTTTTTTTTTTTTTTTGTTAATACCCTAGATGTGGACCTATCAGTCACCTGGTAAAAAATGCTGTGCACATGTAGGTTTAAGCTTGCCAAGGTAATCATTTGATTTCATATCCTATATGTTAGTTTAAGGTGACATTGATCAAAAGGTTATTCATATTGTCAGCGTCATAAAGTTTGTTCTAAACTCACTTAAAGAGTATTTGTCTTGATGATGGCTATTAGTCACCACTGACTGCTTCCAAGTCCTCTTTCAGTTTAGGTGAAAAGACACACAATGACATCACATCAATAACTAACGTTTTGTGTCACAACCCAGCAAGTATAATTTTAACCTCGTGGTTGTTACGACTGGCTGACAACAATGGTAACAAAATTATCTTTCGGACGGACACTGGATTATTTTGTGAGGGACGATGGGATAGGTTAGAATGCAAACGTGTCTAGACCGTGGCAGTGCGTAATCTAAAAATTAATCCAGATTCATAGCATCTTTTCAACCAATTAATTTTTTCAATATTGTGTAGAGTCTTTTAAGTATTAGGCAAAGTACTTTGAATATATAAGTGTGAATTTATATTTTATTTAATTTGTCCGAATCCAGTGGCTTAACTTCAGAATTTTTTGGAATTATATTTGCTTCAAATATACGGAATTTCCAACATTAAAACTAACCCATTAAACCTGAGGTACGAGGGGATCGGGAGAATATTTATCGGCAACACAGAAAGATTATATTGGCCCACTCAGAAAGCAAGTCTGTTCTCTATATGCGATCTTGTGGCCCACATGATATTCTGGAAAAGTTTGGCTTTGCCTTCCAATATATCGCGAGTTGAGGGAAAGAGAGCAAAATAAAAACAACCTTAATCAAAAATATATATATACCATTATTACTGCCTTTAACAGGAAATGCAAGGAGGGCTACCCAGCACCAACTTTTACATTTGTGTTAAACCGAAAACGACTCGTCAGCTAGCTTGGTTGGGGTTGTGTGTGATTTTGAAAGATAATATACCTGCCCGATCAACTTGGAAACAAGTTCCAAGTTTTTATTATTGTTAAGCTGACTAATTCAGCAAATTGTAGCATACTTTGGATTCAATTTACTTGAAATTACCTACTCTTTTGACGACATAATACATATGGTAGCAACAAACGACGTTACATCAAGTTAATCACCTGCCCCTGGCCCGGTTGTTTTCCTTGAGTCAGCTCATGCAGGAAAGTTAACCCGATTTATGTAATAAATTAACCCGATTTCTGTAATTAAAGGTCGAAGCTGGAAATAATTTTGGTTATATCCATACCTCATTACACTAATTCTTTCAATTGATAGCTCGTGATGCTAAAAACAAAGAGGATTATTTTGTTATAAATTGAAAGGGAGGGGCACTAATTAAAATCCACTAGCTAGTTAAGTCATTTTCTCGAAGATCGATGTCTTCTCTGAATGGCTCAAAAAACTTTCACAAGATTGCTTTAAAAGATTCTTCATTCGAAAGTTGGCCACCTCCTTATGGGGATACTTGTCGTAATTGCTAGCTATGGTTAAAAGAAATGACTAATGGTTAGGCATCTGCAAAAGATCATGGGTTATGTGGTTAGATATATGCTGAAAACAGCCAAGAAAGCAAAGAAAACGTCAAAATTGGCAGAATAGCAGAACTGTAAACATTGGATTCTCTTTGAAAGCAGGGGAAGAGGAAGAGTGTCGATGCCTGCGAATTACTACAAATTTACAGACAAATTGTGATAAATCTTCGCTGAAATTCATGTAGTTAATTACGAACTCGTAAGAGTCGGAAAAAAATATATATATAAAAAAAATTGTCTGCTTAACTAGGAACCCCTGCACGTGTGACAATGGCCACGTTCATGTCTTATCTAGGAATTTGAATTACGTACAGTCCTCATATAATAACAGCATAATATCAGTATTAGCAGCAGCGGCTTCATCACTCATCAGCATTAGGGGATTCCACATGCATAACCCGCCTTTCTTGCATCCTATTAATAATTTCTCTAATATTTATGCTTATTTGACCTTTATCCTGAGAGATGAAAAAAAAAAAAAAAAAAGCAAATGGTGATATGCTTTATTCAATGTACTTATTTCGCAGCAGTACTTTTCCTATTATTCACTTCCTGGACGACTGGTCAAGATAGTTGCATGATAAAAAAAGTGAATTTTTCTCCTACTTGAGAAATTGGTATTTAGCTAAGAAAATAAATGTATCGATAACACAGGTTTTAAAGTATATGTGTTGCCATGCATATCGACCTTGCCCCAGGACCTTTATTATAATGTTGGAAACTGTTATTGAGAAAATGTTAATCGGAATTAATTCTAATTCCCTTCCATATATATCGACCTAAGCCTTTAAATTTGATAGCCAAACGCTGTAATTGAAAAAAAGAAAAAAGATGCAGAATTGGATACTTTAATTTCGTTGAAATAGAGTGTATAGCAGTAATACGTCCATTAAATTGACATGTCTCAAGAAATAGATAGTTCAGTTTGGGGAAGAAATTTTGAATAAGATTAACATTTTTCTTGGAATTATTGGCAGTTACTTTTGGCTAAAGGAGAGTTTACTCACTGTTACTAATATAAATTTCTTATCTTTTTTTCTCTCCCTGAAAAACTAAAAGGATTTTATAATATATAGAACTCAATCCGTGATGAAATGATTAATTACTTCAAAATTAAACGCACGGTGAATTCTCTCATAAATCTGGATACAACAAGTCCACGTAAATAAAAAATTAATAATGCTATTTTGGATAAACAAAGATTGTCTAAGCAAAGTGCGCACATTAATATCAAATTTATTCACAAAAACTAAATCAAAATATAGATCCAAAGACTTATATTCGTAAAATCATAGAAATCTACACTAATTTATACAATTGAGTTTTCATAAGTCTACATTGAGTAATTACTTAGTAAACCTAGAGATTTGAACTAAACAAACTACGAAGCTTGTACTGAGCATAGAGACTTATGAGAGTAAATTATGATAAGTCTACATCCAGCGCGAGATGGTTACAAAATTAAAAAATAAATATTAAATTGCATGAGAAATAACAAAAAATTAAAAAGACTGAAACCTTAAAAAATAAATTGCTGAACACTTGAGAAAATTTGTATTGAAATTAATATTATACTAGGATTGGTCATAGAAAATACAATTAATGGTGTTCTTCTATTTACCATATTCTAAGAGTTGAGGTCCAAGACCTATTTGTAATACAAATAAAAAAATAATCGATTTAAAAATTAGTCTTTAACTTAGAAAAATATTGCAGGACAAAATTAACATTCAAATCAAATAAGAAAACAAACATTATAAAGAGAATGTGATTTTGAATCATTTATAAAAATTAACTAGGAAAAACTTAAATTGAAAAATTCATAATTTTTTTTATAATAATCTCCATCGTAAAATCTTTAAAATATAAATTAATCAAAGTAATATGAATTAATAAAATATAAATCGATCATATTCCGAATAACAACTTTCTTTAATGTCATTCGGTCCAACTATCAATTCGTTAAAGAACACCTTCATACCAATCTATAATCTGAAATATTTATTTTATATTAACATTCAGTATAATGATATTTTCTGCTTTAACCCTCAATATATCATCCGAGAAATTATCGCGTTGTGCCCCTACACAAGAAAGAAAATATATATGACAATATATATGCTCTGAAGTTGCGTTGCACCTACTCTTTTAACTTTATTCTTCCATGCCCCCACCATTAATGTCAGCTTCCTTTACATTCATTCTTTCTTTCCTATTCTTTTCCCTTGCTTCTTCCATCATTCCTTCTCACATGATCCCCCTCTCTCTAGGAAAGCAATGCCTCATTGATGTCCTGAAGAACCAGAGCTCAAGCTGATCCCAGAAACAATGGCAACCAATATAGGATCAGTATTCAACAAATTCCTATCTCTCTTTATCCTTCTTGTCCATCTCGGTTGCTTTATTTTCACAGCCAAATTAGATGATCCCCACCCTAATAGCCCACCGCCAACCAAGAAACGCAAAAAAGTCTCTCCTCTTGCTCCCATCTCTTCTTCCTCTTCTCGCCTGAAACCCCAGAAAGCTCTCTCTTCCTCTTGGTCCTATCTAAAAAGCATTTTCTCTTCTAAAACATCCAAAACTCAAACTCAATCTGCAACTCCGACTCTAACCTCGGCAAGATCATCTCAGCAGTCCATTGTTACCATGATCCCACCAGAAACTCACTTGTCTGAACTTCCACCACGGAAAAAGTCATCTGGGTCCGAAGAAGAATCCGATATCTCAACAGATCACCACTTCTTTCCTTTAAGAAACGATATCTTTCCATGCACAGCTTGCGGTGAAATCTTCCAAAAACCTCAGCTTCTTGAACAACACCAAGTTATCAAACATGCTATCACACAGCTTCTAGATGGTGATTCAGGTAAGAATATAGTCCATATCATATTTAAAACTGGGTGGTCTTGTAAAGAGAAGAGCCCAGAAATCCATAGAATTTTGAAGATCCATAATAGTCCAAAGATACTGTCAAGATTTGAAGAGTACAGAGAGTTTGTCAAAGCCAAAGCTGCAAGAAACAGTAGTGCTGTCAAGAGAAGAGACGAGAGGTGCATTGCTGATGGTAATGAGCTCCTGAGATTTTACTGCTCAACTTTTATGTGTGATTTAGGACTGAATGGGGATTCTAGTATTTGTAACCAGCAATATTGCAGTGTTTGTGGGGTAATTAAGTCTGGTTTCTCACCCAAGATGGATGGAATTTCTACACTATCTACTAGTTGGAGAGCCCACACGGCGATCCCTGAAGAGATTGAAGAAGAGTTCAAGTTCATGAATGTGAAACGGGCTATGCTAGTTTGTCGGGTAGTCGCCGGTCGGGTCGGGTGTGACTTGGAGGAAGATGTGGACAAGCAGGACGGTGGGTCCGACTCTGTCCTGGGAAGAGGTGGCAATGGGATCCACACCAGGCTGGATGAGGAGGAGCTGTTGGTGTTTAATCCAAGGGCTGTGCTTCCTTGCTTTGTGATTGTATATACTGTGTGAGTGTGTGATTATTATAATAGTGTACGATCCCTTCTACTTGTAATTTTTATACTTTTGATGGACTGTTCAAGTGTGGTGGTGGTGGTGGTGTTATGCATGTTTTTTTTTTTTCTTTGATCTGTGACTGTGACCAAAATATGGTCACCACCGTATTTGCCCTAGTGAGTAGAATAGAGAGTATTAGTAGCGGATTAGTTTCGCCGGATTTGTTTGTGATTTTTCTTTTTTATTTATCGTTTCAAGATCCTCAACCATTATCGAGGGCTATGGAAACCATGGGAATGGCTGCTTCCTGTCATGGAGTGAGAGATAACTTAAAATTAGAGGATATCTGATGTAATTAGATGCTATGCCAGTGAAATATTTGACGTACTGTATACTTTAAAATCGCATTAAAATATATATATATAACTTTAGCATAGAGAAGCTGATCTAAAAATATTCATTGACGTCAATTTTTTTTTTTTTTAATAGATTGACATGCCCAATGTATTGATTCTAAATTGAATTTGGGGTGCTGATTTGAACATATATTGATTTAATTTTTAGTTCATTAAGTCAGTTCTATATAAATTGGAAATATCCAAATAAGGGAAAAAGAAAAAGGCATTGCTTGTTAGTTTAAGGGTAAATTTCAATTTGCTCTCCTCAAGTTTATATGTTTTCTCAATTTCACCTAAATTTTTTATTTATTTTGATTAGACATTGTAATTTTCATATTTTTTGTTTCACCAGGAGTAAATTTCAGTTCCATGTTTAAAGTTTATGGAATGTAGCAATATAACCCAAAAGATAAGAATGAATAAATTAAAATTGAAAAAAAAATTACTAAAGAAATATATTTTTTTCAGTAAAAAATATAATAAAAAAATCCATTAATATTATTTAGCGGTCCTTTTAGGGTAGAAGAATAAAATAAAGTTAAAAACAAATATGATAAAAATATTTTTTAATAAAAAAAATATCAACTATCATTGTTGTTGCTTCTTATACACTTTCTAACTACGATTTCATATTTACAAGTTTTATTTAATTTTATATTAAAATTTTGAATAAAAATTCTTAAAAAATTTAAACAAAAAACAAAAATCCCATATGAATATAATGGCAGCTTGAATATAGGATAATTTTGATATAGCCGAGAACGTGATTATTTACACATATCAAATATGCTATTTGATCACAAACATTAAAAAAAAAAAAAAAATGAGACGTGATAGCTTAAAGGAATCAAAATGGTAAAAGTTTTGATGACAAAAGATTAAAAGAGAGAGTTAAATCAATAAAATCTTGATTTTTATTTAACTAAGTATTGATAAAGAAAAAGATGATGTAGCTAAGTGATGATTGAAATTGACGAATTTGAAATTTTCTTAAGAGATTAACTCCTCAAGTTTTATCATATTTGTTTTAATATAAAATATATTTTTTCTATTGATTTTTTTTTTTTTTTTTGCTAATTTCAATTAGTTTAGTTTTTCTTTACTTTATGGCTGATAATGAGACTTTTCATAAACTTTATGAATGAAATTAAAATCTATATGGACAGAGGAGAAAAATTAGAACAAAAATAAAAGATATCAAGGCTTATTGAAATTAAAAATGAAAGATGTGGGGGTTGGTTAGAGCAAAAATAAATAAATAAATAAAATATGTAGTCTAATTTAAACAAATCAAAGATTTTTAATGAAACACATAAACCTTGAAGGGGCAAATTGAAATTTACCCAAAAATTTATCCATGAGATATCTGTGCTGCTTGATGCGGTTTTCCCACGGTGTTTGGGTAAAGCCGTAAAGGAACTGGGTCTATTTTTCATCCAAAGAAAATTTATAATAGTTATTATGCTGTTTAGATCTTTAACACCGAGGTATGTGCCGGTTGCCTTTACGATCTCTTTTTTCTTTTCTAACCTTTATCAATCAAATTATTACAATTATTAAAAAAATACTAAAAATTTTGGAGGGTTTACTATTTATATTAATATTCACTCACATTTAACTGCATTATTCATTCAAATTCATACTCACTGTATAATAATATTTTTGTGATTTTTAAACTCTCTTTTGGCATTTATTTTCAACTTTATCCAATATTACACTTTGATCCTTAATGTTTTTAAAATATTTTTTTCAATTTTCAACTTCACTTGTAGCTTCGTTAGCCTATGAATGTAGAGAGATGAGAGGAGAGAGAAAGCTATGGTCGGTTCTGATTTTAGTTTTTTTTGTTGTCGATCTAACATTTATATTGTTTATTTTGACGAGGATAATGTATCCATAGTGATTTCAAGTTATAAAATAATTGGAAAAAGTCCGAGCTTGATTTTTTTGTTTTTGATTTTTTCTATTTTTTTTTTAATGTGTCTTGAAATGCTTTTTAAGATTCCAAACGAATTTATTGATCTTATTTCGACAATTTGTGTTTTAAGGCAAAATGATGTTAGAAATAGGTTTATAGGATTTAAAACTGTACCCTCGATTTTTTAATTACGATTATAGCAAACTTGAGTTCTTCGGAAGTTGCAAGAGGATGATAGATCGTTGTCTACTTGTTTTATTTTGTTTTCTTATAGAAAAAAAAACAACCTAGGGGTTGCTCTCAAAAGCGAAGCCTTGTTTCTTCAAGCCCAATTTGAAGCCTCCCTTGGTTTTTTTTTTCTTGGCTTTTGTTTTTTTTCATATATATATATTGTTTAAAAAATCATTATTGAACTAAGTGCAAAAATTATAGAAAACTAATCTTTCTTTTTACAGAGGTTGGTGACGATGAAATATATATAAAATATTTTTCAGATTTTAATACATATATATATACACACACACACACATTAGATTATAATACTCTTATTATTTAAATTTTTTTTTCAATTTGTTGTTTCTTATAAAAATTCTTATCAAATTAATTTTTAATTTTTTTTGTATAATTTTTTTCTCTATGTATGGATTTTCAAATAAAATCTAAAAATATGATTATTTTATCTTTGTTTAAATATATTGATATAATTTATATGATGAATTCTTATGATTTTAAAGTAAGGGTATCAAAAGCTAAAAGTACATTTCATATAATTTTCTCGTTTTTTTAAAGTAAACAATAAATTAAAATAATAAAATTCACGTGTTTTATTTGCTTCTTTTTTATATAATCAAAATTCATAGAAATTAATTTTGTAGTTGTTTTTATTTAAGTCTATTAGCTTTAATATATTTTTTGCAACTTAATTTTTCTTTTCGATTCATGTTGTACACTTTGAACTCACTATGTATGGTCATCATGTGCTTGTGTACTGAGATTATTGATTTTATTAAAAAGTTAATTGTATATTTACATTCATAAAACCAACCATTTGCTATTATTATTATTTTTAATATTCTAAAACTAATTTTTTTCAAATAAAATAATTAAAATAATATTTCAGAAGATTACCTAATGATTCAATTACAACTTTTTACTAATATTATTGATTGTTTTGTGACTAAGTATATATAAATCAAATTTATATTTTTTTTCAAAAAAAATCATCTTATCAACATTAAATAAGAATAAAAAATTTTATTTTTAATTTTTATTTAAGTTTTTGTATTAATTATTGTTTTATTTTTTCAAAGCAATCTTATGAAAGAAAATATTAAAGCATATTTAAAAAAAAATGGATCAAACTTTCTATTTAAATTATTGCATATTTTTATTTAAGAATCAAAGTATAAAGAAGAATAAATCATGTTTTTTATCTACAAGATTTAACAAAAATACAAGAAAGAATAAATTATAAAATTAATAATTTTCTTTATTACCTTTAATTTAATATATTTTAATAAACTCTCAACACAGTGCATACTATCTCTTTTTTAAATCGAGATTTTAACAAACTTTCTGTATCAAACTAATACATTTATTAAAAAAATGGTTTTCTTGAAGTCTTTCCTACGATAGTAACCCTTCGGTTAGGCTTCTTTTGTATCACTCACGATTAATTTATTTGTTTTGAGATCCGTCATTCATGATTGATATAGGTTCTTCGACTTTATGGTCATGGCCTGGCTCACTTATGATTACAGGGCTGGCCCACTCATGATTATGCTCTGCGTCCATAAAGACTTCCCCTTATCCAGTCCCCCTCCATCTTTGGCGGGAAACAGGTCAACTCAAGTCATTAAAGTCTCCCAAAAAAGAAAGCAAAGCTGAAAGGAGATCGATAATGAAAAAGCTGGGCTGGCTCAGTATGTTGGAGAATTTTGCTTAAGTATAGCCTCAATCAAGTCATTACGGTTATGTTGCTATAAAATCATGATGGATTTCGACTGCTGGGCCATAGCAAGGCATGATTAAAAGAGTTAATACATTCACATGTTAATACGTTATTATAAAATAAATTAATTTTTGAATTTTTTTAATAAAAAAATGTTTTAAATTTATTCTTATTAATTGAGTTGGTTTTCAATCTAACATTTTAATTAAAATTTTTAAAAAACTTCGACCAAATTAAACTTGTAATTTATAAATATATGTAATTTGATAAAATTATTTTTATTATTTAACACAAATGATGTGTATCTACTAATATAAAAATTAATTTCTAAAAATTAATAAATTTTTTTTTATCAGAATTATAGATTAAAAATCAATTTAAATAATAAAAACAGATTAAAAAATGAACTTATTTTATAAAGATGTGGGAAAACGTTAACCCTAATTAAAATTATCCAGTGCAGTCAACACCCACAGTCTGCTTCGTATTACGACCGAAGTTGGGCTGAAATTGTTCAATTTTGCAGTAAGCCAGTCAGCAATGCATCTTTTTTTATTTAAAAAAAAAAAAACTATCATGCCAAGTTTTTCTGTTGTTGATTGAAGAAAAAAATTACATGGGATACCGAAGTCTTTCATTAAAAAACATGTAATTATGGATCTATTGGAGAGAACACAAGGATAGAATGAGCAATTTATCGTTATTTCTTACAAGAGAAATTTTTAAATTTTAATCTTCATTCCCTTTGACTATTTTTAATTTATTCTTCAATTAATTATTCTTCTCTGTATTTTCCTACGAAGAAAGGTAAATTTAAGAAGTATTTGTTGCTCGTTGTAAAATTATCAACAAAAACAGATTATGAATTGATATAATCTATATTATGAACTATGAAAATATATATCATAATAGTGAAAGATGTAGAAATTTTCAATCTAAATAAAAATACATGAAAAGATGATGATATAATATCTGCCATTTTCAAATTTCTTTATTCTTTTTTTCTAAAAATATTGAAGATGATGCAAATGCCAAAATTAAACTTATTGCTATTCCACGTTTCTGTTAAGTTTAATGGCATATTGATTATTAAGGTCGTGGTAAAATAAGACTTGCATCGTTAATTTGATCATTTTTGTCCTGAAATTATTATTTGTAAGTAAATTATATCCTTTTGTCTGATTGAACTATTAATAATTAATAATGAGGATCAAACTTTAATCGTTAACTTAAAAGCTGAATACACATAATTTCGGGAAAAAAATGCATAAAACTATTTTCAATTTTTAAATTATGTTTTTATATTGTGTTAAAACAAAAGGTTGAAAACAATATCTTATTGAGCTTTTTATTTAACAGTTAAATTTTGACTGCCAGTCTTAATGGTTTAATCAAACATGAAAACAAATAATTTGCCCAAATAATTATAATTTGAATATGAAATAAACCAAATTGATAGTTGATGTTTTATTTTGTTCCAACCCTAAATGTTTAATGGTAAAATTTGTCATTAAACTGTTTCTGTTATGATTTCCGGGTTTGAATTGTTATGGTGAGTTTTCATGATTCAATTTTTTGAAGGGTAAATTACAATAACATCCTCAATTATTGTAAAATTACAAAACCATCCAAAAGTTTACATATTTAATAAAAACTCCTTTAACATTTAAGAAAATATTATAGAAACCCCTTTTTGAGTCCTATTGTACCCAAAATGTCCTTAATTACGATTAAAAAAATACAATAGTTAATTTTTTTTTAAATCAAAGAAAGAATATTAAAAAAGAAACTCAAAGAAACATTGAATGAAATTAAATAGTGAAACTAATATCATTCAGGTACTAAAAAAAGCCATGTCCTATATTTTATATTACTTATCTAATTTTTTTAGTCTTAAATTTAACTATGTATTTTTTAATAGTAATTAAGTATATTTTGAGTATAACAGGGCCCAAACTGGAAGGGATTTTTTATTTTTCAAACATTCAAATTTTAGATGGTTTTATAATTTTACAATATCTCAACTAATGTAGCTATTATAATTTTTTTTTTTTTTTGAAATTGTAAGCCTAAAATTTGATATCAAATTTGAAGATTAGGCTTTGTATTTTTACCAACCAAATTTTTTTAATCGTAATTAATTTAACCATCTTTTTTAAATAGTAATCAAGGACGTTTTAAGTACAATAGGGCTCGAAAAGAGATTTCTGTAATATTTATTTAAACATGAAGGTTTTTTTTGTCAAATGTTCAGATTTTATATATTTTTTTTGTAATTTTACAATATCTCAATAGAGTTATTATAATTCAATCTTTTTTGAACTCGTAAGCCTAAAATTTGATATCAAATTTGAATATCAGGCTTTGCATTTTTACAAACAAAAATTTTAGCTTTAAAATTTGTAAACCCAGATATTTGGCCCTTCGTTCAGCCTATAATTTAACTTGAAGTTACATGCATAAGATTTTTTACGTGTGCAGTGTGCATCAGTAATTTGAATATCGAAGGTTTAAATAAATACCTATGATATTTGGTATACATATGTATTTATATTATTTTTTAGAGTTAACAAGAATGATAGTTGGACGTTTAAGTAGTAGAGGTTGCTACAATGCCGGCATATCAATGCCGATTAATCTTTGTATTTGAATTTAATGATTCTAGATTATTTTATAAAAAAATGAAATTTTATTAACACTGAAAATAGTACATATATCATTATTACAAATTCCACAAAACTCAAATAAAAATTGCAAGCATTATAATCGATTTTAGTCAAGTGAAAAAGCAAAATTTATTCACTACAACAAAAACTACGTAGCATCTCGTTTTCTTTATTTTATAGACTTTTGAATGAATTTTTTGAGTTTTTTTAATAGGTTGTTCGCAATGTGATTTTTTTTTTTTTTCCATATATCTCCATTTCATTAATTTTTTGCCGCCATTTATCAATGGAAGAACATGTCCCATTACTAGATCTCATAGACCAAAATAACAAATTTGTGGTAAGGTGCTGAAACCTCTTTTTATTGACAAATTTTCGACAATTACATAACTTGAAATTCATTTAAGAAGGTAATTTTATTCTCCAATTCACTATAGATTTTCAAACCAATTTTCAGTCGACAAAAAAAAAAAAAAAAAAAAAAGTCCCAAATATTAAGTACAACAATCCAAATAAAAATACAAAATTTTGATCATATAAATCTATTGAAAACATCAAATCTAAAAAGAGATGTAGAATTATTTTATTTAATTTTAAGAAAACAGTAATATTGTAGATATTCTAGACTTTCTTAGGTGATCAGGTCTTATAACTGATCAAAGTCTGATAATCAATGGGATTTTGGTATGGAGGAATATTCTAAAACTTCTCTTACCAAAACATGTTAAATTCCAACCAATTTGTCAGGGAAATTTCCTACAACATTACATTCTCCACAAAATAAACAAGAAATGGAGTTCCCTTAGCATAATCACAATTTCGCTCCTACGATAAAATAACAAATTTGTTTGAATGTTTCATGAATTTCAAGAATAAACTACACATAGTACATTACTAGGAATTTTTATTTTTCATTCTAATAATCAAATTCTAATTAACGCCATTAATTTCAAAAGAATATCTAATAATCTGCAAACGTTTTTTAATAACTATGTGTGTTTGAATACTCCAAGATAATGTTGATTATTTAAATATATAATATAAACTTGAGTAGATGGTGATTAAATGTATGCATTGGTATGAATTTGTTATGCTGATTATTTAAATATATATTATAAACAAATTAATAAGTTGTTAGGACAAGTAATAAACGAGTTGGTCTTTAATGAAATTTTTATTAATATATAGTATTCGAATCTTGAAATCATACTTGTTAAAAAAATAAATTTTTTATTAATATACAATATTCAAATCTTCGAGTCGTATTTATTTAAAAATAAATAAATTTTATCGTTCTTACTTTGAACATGATTAATCATATATATATATATATATATATATATATATATATGAGTAGATTATCATTAAATGTATGCATGGACATGGGTCTTTATCCAGATTATTTTATACGGATCATTTCCTACTGTTGATAAAAACATAAAAAAAAAACTGGTTTAAATTGAGATTCCTGTTATGAATTGGAAATTGATACCTATAAGGGCCTATTTTTGGTATTAGATCATAATAGAGTTTTATTCTCTCTCTCTTTATCTTTTTTTAACACCCACTACAAGAGTTGGAAGAAAACTTTGGGCTCAGTTTTGTAAACAGTCCATACATAGAATCAAGCCAACTCGATCCATCAAAATCCCACCCACCTCCATTTCTGTGCCAAGAAGAAAGCCAGATTTTCCGCGCAAAAAGCGAGAGAGAATTCGAAAGCAAGTAAGTCTACAGTCTGATCCCCAGACTTTTTTCTGTTCATTCAAGTTTCTTCTTTCTCAAATCTCCCATTCCCAATAAACTAACCTGAGAACACAGGCACACACTAAAGAAAACTCTGTAATGAACCCAACCATTTGACTTTGGAACCCTCGAAAACTGCACCTTTTCCCCAATATTCAAGCTCCATGGACGGTCCCCTCTCTCTGCTGGAATCTCGCTCTCTGATGCTAATGTCCACACTCCTCTCCTCTCTCCTCCAACCATTTCTTTTTCCAATATCCTCAGATCCACGGTTTTTTTTAAATTTCAGTCTATCTTCCTCCCTTTGCGTGCTCTTTAAAAAAGATCCTCTAAAACAAGTATTATTCACGTCTTTTTCATGACCAACAGATTCTTTCAGCTACCAGAACCGGTATCAGGTTTGTATTGTAACCGTGCATGAAGTTTTCAGTTCCCACGTGCTGCATTTGTTTGTTTTTTTTTTTGGACTCAGTATCCTTGATTCTTTCTTTCTTTACCAATTGCAGGCTTGCGGTATGTCTGATTTCAAGTTAGATGTGGTTATTGCTCAAGATTTTCCGGAGCCTGATTTTAGGCCTAAAAAGGAAGAAACTATTTCAGGTGCTGAAAAGATTAATGACGCAGTGTACAAGATTTTTAGTGGTAATTTTGCCGGACGTAGAGCTATAAGTGACAGGTAAAATTATTAACTAGTTCTGTGTCATTCCCCAAAATTTTAAAGATTTAAATTAGTAAAATGTCATTGTGATGGGAATTAGTATTGATTTTTGTTTTTTTGTTTTTAATGTAGTTTACTAGTTTGAACTTTGGATTATTATCTATCTGTTTCTTTGTTGCAGGCTCTTTAGAGGGAATCAAGCAGATAGTGACAGTCTTGGTAATCCAAATGGTGGGGAAGAAAAACGTGAACATGGATCAGGAAAAAAATCCGGGCCTCTTTTATCAGGAACGGCTTACTGCATTTCGTCTTGTGGCATGATATTGTTGAATAAAATTGCTTTATCAACTTATAATTTCAATGCAGGGATATCACTTATGTTTTACCAAGTACGTTATACCCTCCCTTTGCTTTCTAGTGGGGTTGAAATATTGAATTGTACAAAAGTATATTTCTTGCTATCACAAACTTTTTATCTAATCAAATTTTAAATAACCGAACCTATCGAAGCCTCTCGACATTTGAATGCTTTGTTTTGCTGCAGAATTTGATCAGTTGTCTTGTTGTTGCTGTACTGGGCCTCTCTGGAGTCGTTTCAGTTGAAAAGCTCAGTTGGAAACTAATAAGGGTATGGATCCCTGTCAACATAATCTTTGTTGGCATGCTTGTATCAGGCATGTATAGGTATGTTATGCCCTTAATTTTGTATGTGTTTTGGAACTAAGTAGAGAGGAGTGAACCTTAATTATGATTTGAATATTGGGGGAAGCAATGTGTGCTTGTGTTTATTAGTTGCCAGGCATGTTTACTGCTGGATAGCAAAATGTTCATTTTTTTTTTTGAATAATAGCATAGTATTCTATTATTCTTTTGCAGTTGATTCTGGTTCATTTTTGTTTTCAGTTTGAAATACATAAACATAGCGATGGTTACAATTCTGAAGAATGTGACAAATATTATAACTGCAATAGGAGAAGTGTATATTTTCCGGAAACGTCAGAATCAGAAAGTGTGGACTGCCATGTTTTTTATGGTACGTATTGACATTCCTTTTATTGTTCCATGTGGGTTTGCGAAGCTACAATTCCTTAATTTATGGCCAAAAAAATCATATTGCTGGTATGATTATCTCTGCTTGGAAATGGAACAAATGTTTGTTTCAGACGAAAAGACAGATACTGCACAGTCTAATTTGGACAGAATGTATATTATGCTTATGCATCAATGGTCTTTTGTTGCTGGAAATGACTTAGATTTAGATTTCCTGTAATAATTGTATCTTCTGCAAATACATTAAGTGTGATGGACTACTCTTAGGATTTGGTGAGCCAGGTTCAGCAAAATAACAAGTCCTTCATATCTCTTCCTTTTGTTTTGCAGATCATCTCTGCCATTAGTGGTGGTATCACAGACCTTTCCTTTGATTCCATGGGTTACACGTGGCAAATTATGAATTGCATTTTAACAGCCAGCTACTCGGTATGTAGATTAAAGCCTGTCATAGCACTAGCCCTAAATCCTGACCCTGTTAGTGATCTTATTAAATTGTTTGGATGTACGTATATAGTTTTCTGCTTGGAATACGGGGAACATGAATACTCTCGTTTTCTGTCGCAGCTTACCTTGCGGAAGGTAATGGATAAAGCAAAGCAGTTAACCAGAACTGGATCTCTTAATGAAATTTCGATGGTCCTGCTGAATAATTTGTTATCTCTACCTTTCGGTATCATCTTGATTCTGCTATTCAATGAATGGGAATACGTAATAACTACGTAAGTAATGTCAGGGTTTATATGCTGTTTTCTTTTCATACCAGCGTCCAATATTGGTAGATTGTAATTCTGACATAAGTGGTTTTAATTTGCAGGGATGTGATTAAATTACCAATGTTTTGGGTTGTTGCAACAGCCAGTGGATTACTTGGACTTGCCATTAGCTTCACCTCTATGTGGTTCCTATATCAAACTGGCCCCACCACTTACAGGTAATTCTGTGCTCTCTATCCTTTCTGTATAGATTGATAAATGCTTAGTTGTTAACTTCATTTTACAGAGTTCTTGAGAAGAAAAGGAAACTGTGTTTCTTTTAGCCTTCTGGTACTGTATTTCGCATCAAGAAAAAAGGAAAATCAGTATTGTATTTCTTTGTATTGCTATTTGACTCTGTCTCCTGTTCTACAGTCTGGTGGGTTCCCTAAACAAGATTCCCATATCTTTTGCTGGTCTTGTGTTGTTCAAGGTTCCACTCAGTTTACCAAATCTTTTCAGTATACTTTTCGGTAAGAGTCCATACTCTTCGGACAATATAGAGTTATTTTATGCGTGTAATTCTATTCAGTTTAATCTAATGGCAGTTTGATGTATGTAATTCTATTCGGTTTAATCTTATGGCAGTTTGATGTATGTTTCTCGCAGGCCTATTCGCTGGAATATTCTTTGCCAGGGCTAAAATGTCCAGATCCTAGAATCAGACCGTAGGTAATTTTGTTATGCAATTATATTAGTAGTCAAAAAGCTTCGGTATGATGATTCAGAACTGAAATCCAGTTTCATCTTCTGAGAGCTACCACTGGACTGGAAGAAGCAAAAGATTTATATGTAGGTATAGTTATTTTGTAAAAGAAAAGTGGATTTGCTAATTACTAGAGCAACTAAGGATTAAGGGAATTGGAAACTGGAAAGCAAGCTGCTTTTGAAAATCCCTACCCTGAATAACCCTGGATATCCCTGGTTGCTCATTCATAAGGGAAGGAAGTCAATTGTCGCATGGGAAGGTCTCTGAATCCTTTTTGAATACCTAAAGAAACGAAAATATTGAATGTTGTCTTTGAACTTATACCCAACGTACAAAAAAAAGGAGAGAGAGAAAGAAATAAGAGCCTTATTCTTCTGAGCTTGGAGACAGTTCTTCATGGAACCATAGTTTTAGTTTTTTTTATCCCAATACACTCTGGCTAACTCTCTTGCCCATGCTCTATGATGATTTTTCTTCTTTAATTTTATCTTGACTTGACACATGACAGATGGCATAGAAAATGGGCCATTCAAAAATCAGAGATGTATAATTATTGCCATGTTGGCATACGAATAGCATGTGGTATTTTCTCATCACTGATTCCAAATTTACGATGGATGTAGTTCATAAATCGTACTCTCTTCCGACCTTCTCTTGGTTTCCATAATCAGATATTTGGCTTTGTGATTTGTTGGAAGCTCATCATCAAAATGCTCATTTTATGATATTAGTGTTAAAAGAGCCATCTAGTTTTCTTAAACTATTAAATGAAATTTTAAAAATAATTTTATATTACTTATTTAAAGTCATTCTCCTTTTCAAAATTCCGAACGGCGACCATAATAAAACCCCACCATTCTTTTCTCCTTTAATGAAAGACCCTCAAACAACTTCTTATTCATTTGCGGGTCGGGACTCGAGCGCATTTTTCTTCTCAACAAGTGATTTCAAGAATCCTCCAACCGACAAATTCATAACTCGTGTGACTCGATAGCCTTCCTTCCGTCTAAATGAAATGGGATGAATCAAATCAATAAGCTTTTTAATTGATTCAGGATGCAATGAAGCCAAATTCAATCAAGGCAAAAAGGGGTTACTTTTCTTGACATTGAGTCATCCTATTCAAATTTAGCTATGCTAATGTAATGAGAAAAGTTTTCAGGTGACATAATCCAAGAGATGAGCGATAACCTCCAATTGTTTAGGGGTCGTACTCTACCTCGTTTAGTGTGGTGGACGATTTCTCTTTTTAGAGTTCTTTCTTCTATAGTCATAGTAGTCGCAATTGACCGACTTACCGAGAGCAAGAGAGGAGTATGGGATGATACCAATGGAAGAGAGTCATTGAAGAAGATTATTTTTCGAACATAAAAATTTCAAATTTCATTTCCTATCCGCCCGAGAGACCCTATCCAACGAGACGCTTAAGATCAATGGATCAATCGACGGGATTTCCTAGGATTCATGATTTTGCTATCTTAACTTTTTAAATTGATCTACGCCGATAATTCTTGCTTCTCAAACCTATCAAATCAAAATTGCTTCACCTCTTGGATTACCTATTGTTCTTCAAGTGAAAGATCTTTGAACTTAAAACTTACTCTAGCTCACCATTACTTTGTGTTTAATTAGACGAAAAAGTAGAGATAGTGAGATTCAAACTCGTCACTATTTAATCATCAAGAGTCTAATATAAAACCATTTTAATCCAAAAATTTAATTAAGCCGATGAGTGAGATCTTAAGAATGATTTTATATTACTCTTTTATCTAACACATTTCTTTAAGTAAAAGTCATTTAGACTTGAAACTTGTACATATTCATTACTATCTTAAGGTGAGGCTTCATAAATAATTTTATATTATTTTCTAGTATACACTTTCAATTGAAATTTCTTTGGGTTTGAAACTTGCATAAATCTACTACTCGTCTTGAAGTAAGGTCCTATGAATGATTTTATATTACTCTTCACCCTTACCTTGTGCTTAATTAGGAAAAAAACAAAAAAAATAGAAGTAGTGAGATTGAAACTCGTGACCATTTAGTTATAAAGGATCTAATACCATGTTATAAAACCATTTCAATCCCAAATTTTTAGCCGATCGGTGAGACTCTAAGAATAGTTTTATATTACTCTCTAACAAAGAAAATATTGATTGTCTTGTTGTTTGGTTAAGCATTAAAGACAGTCTAATATTTGCTTTCTCAAGAAGAGAAAGGAAAAAAAAAAGCCAACATATCGACCGTGGTTAATTCCCGTAAACTTACTCAGGATTGCCATTAAGATGATTCAACAACGTAACATGTTATCGAATTGGTTATCCTAACTAGGCAAAAATTCGAGTAGTTACAAGTGATCAAAACCAACTAATTAATGGGGTTTGCCGACGCTAAATTGCCAAAAAAATTTCATTGGAGTAGGATGTAGCATTGGCCATAGACACCGAAAAGATGAGAAAACTGTCTTATTATCCCCTCAAATCTAAATCAAAGCAGCTTTTTCCACTAGGTTAGGTTATTACTACAACAACCTATTCAACGAAGCTAATCGAAACGATGAGGTTTTTCGCTGGAATTGCTAAGCCAATTTTGTTGGCTAAGGCAACAAGTAAGGTTTATCGGCTTAATTAGGCCCCTTTTTTTTACTATAGAAATGCATGTCGTCAAGCAAAAACAAAATAATAATAATAATAATTAAAAACAATAGTAGATATGTTTGGTCTGAAACATAAAAATATATAGCAAACATGGATCGGAGAAGTTAAGAAGTTGATATGTTTCCACAGTTCGAAGAATATATATAAGTAGAGTGGGAAAATTGTATCAATTGATAAGCAAAATAAAACCCATAACTGATTTTTTTGGTCCTAATTTAGATACACTAAAAATATAATTAAGGATGCAAAAGAAAAATATGGATACTTAAATAGGGAGAGTTATTTTTTTTTCAATTATGAACATTTTTAAACCTATATATATTCCTAAATTATAGAAGTTTTACTATGTAGGCATACATGTCGGCATTATTTTGATTTTTTATTATTATTATTATTATAAAAATAAAGAAAAAAACTCGTATCATTTTTTTCTTTCTTAACTATCATCATAGCCTTTATGTGACTACCAAGTTAATTATTTTATATAATCATGCAATTATTTTGCATTTTAATTTGAATTGAAATCTGGACATATATGAATATTTTTTTTATCTTATTGATTTTTTTAGTTCATAATAATGGCATCCTTCGTTCTATAATTAATTTTTTTTAACCACAAAGACTAGCGTGACTTTGATTGTTTTTATCACCTAGTGGTGTTAATTGGTAATTTGATTCATGGGTGCTCTTTAGATATATGAATATGTTATCTTCTATCAAATGCGATTTTGCTCTACCCTAAAAAGTTGGCTTGAGCGGAAGAGATTCTAGTAGCTTAAACTAGTGATCTCGAGTTTGAGTCCTTATATATGTAAAAAACTTATTAGATAGTTGTACTCGCTTTATGCATCCGACAAAATATCGAGAGATTAGTCTGAATTTTTGGATTGGGGATACTTTAGGGATAAAAAATAAATATGATTTTGCTCTAAGAAATTAAATTTTGATTGACAACAAGTAGAAAAAAAAAAAGACATGTTTATGATGATATCTATTTAAGGAAAAAAATAATTATATATTTATTTACTTTTAATCTCTTTTTTTTTTTAATAAATAAGATTTAAAGCATCCTATCTTGAAAAAATAACTAGAAAGTAATCTATTTAAGAAAAACAATTCTCCAACAGATGGATATCTATGTTGCTTGCTTGCATGAGTCTACACATACAAGTATATCCATCTCTTTTTATTCTTTTGTAGTTTATACACATCAATCTTCCTTCTTCTTTTTTGATCCCGCAGTATCTCGCATTTGAAGGCCCAAAAATCATTTGCTAGTCGGTCAATCATACAAAATGAGCACAATTGCCAAAGAATTTTTTATGTATATAAGGACTCGAAACCGAGACCACTTATTTAAGTTACTAGAGCTTCTTCCGCTCAAGATATCTATCTTGAGTTAAGTTAGGGGTAAGCAATATTCAATTAAAACTGAAAAACCAAACCGAATTGAATTAGCAATTTCGATTCGGTTCTATAAAAAAATTGTCAAAAACCAAAATTATTTCGGTTCGATTTATTTTTTTTAAAAATTCAATTTCCATTGAAAATCGAATTAGTATATTTTTTTAACGCATACACCCAAGGATCATAGCATTTTCCTACGATTTTTTTTTCTAAAATTTCAATTCAAGCTATTAGCATTCCTTTAAAAAAAAATTATAAAAAAGTAGCCTTTCGACTTGATCAAAGAGAAAATTCAAAATTCAAAAGAAAATATGCAAAAAAAAAAAAAAAAGAGAGGGGTTTTAACCGAAAACCAAAAAACCAAATCGAAAAATTCAGTTTTTAATCGAAAAACCGAACCTCAATTAGATTTGATTTCGGTTTTTATTTTAGTCATTTCGGTTAATAAAAAAAATGAAACCGACTCGAAAAACCAAATCATCATCCCTAATTAAAATATCTTATTTTGAAAAAATAATTAGAAAGTAATCTATTTAAGAAAACAATTCTCCAAAAGATGGATGTCAATTTCGCTTGCTTCCATGAGTCTACATAGCCAAGTATATCCATGTCTTTTTATTCTATTGTAGTTTATACGCATCAATCTTCCTTTTTTCCGCCCGAAGAAATGTAGTGGATAACATTCAAGCGTGTTTGGAGATCTGTATATATTAGTCTGTACGTGGAAAATGAAAAGAGAAAAATCCCCTATTTCCTGTCCATTAACAACCGAAACTACCGTCAACAAACTTGTCAAAGAATCAGAAGTTGTTAAGGAAAAGTAAAGGAAAAGACGAAACATAAAGAAAAAGAAGGGTCATGAAAATGATTGCAGTCCTCTTCTACATATAAAACAGAAATTAAACACCACTTGTCCCCGAACCATTACAGTGCACAGCCATATGATTCAGAAACGCTCCCCACGAGTCACCTTCCACCAAGAACAAACTCATTCTTGACAGTTTCTTTTGTGTCTCCAATGCCTAGTTTACCCCATTATTAACAATCACAAGCAGCAGAACTAGGATATATGGTTCTTTAAAAACACTTAATTAAACAGTTGACGAATTAACATCCTTAGAAAAAAGGACTACAATAATTAGTTAAACCACAATGCTGCATCTTATATCAGGCATCAAAAGCTATTGTTACTATACTAAGAGAATTGAGAAGAAGAAAGCATCTCTATCAAATCCATCTCCTTCTTTCCATTGAGAGAATGAGTTTGATCCATCTGCAAGTCCATGTTCATGCTGTTATAGCCATTTTCAGTAGAAGATGAACATGGGGCACTACTTGCTCCATTCAATAGATAGGAAAGGTAGAGATCGGAATTGAGGTGGTTATAAGTAGGTGTATGATCTGCTAGTACTGCTGCTGCTGGGAAACCATTAGTGCACAACTTCGGATCCAAACTAGAGCAAACAAAGCCATTTTCACTTACATCATTGACCTGCTGACCTCCATTGTTTTGATATAAACCACAGGAATCCAAGGACAAGGAGTCATTAAAAGAATCTGCATTGAAGTTGTCCACCTCCATCATTGGATTCTCCATAGGAACTTTATCCGTTGATGGCTCTTTGGATTTGTTGGCAAAGAAATTTTGGATGAACAAAAGTTCATCATCATTGCATGTTTGTGCAAGTAATGATGGGGAGTCATCCGTGGTGGATTCAGCTAATTCAGGGAGAAAATAGTTGAATTGGCATGAGGGGTCTTCAGATGTGGAGCTTGATGGGGTGTTGGTGGCAGTGGTTGTGCTTCCGGTAGGGGTTACGGAAGTTGAAGCATTTTTAAGGTTCGTGCTTCTAATGTAGTCCTGTAGTATCGAGGATTGAGGCTTTCCACTTTGGCTTTCTGTTTGCTTGTGCTTTCTCCTCGAATTCTGTCTTCTTTTGGTTGCATTCCAATGATTCTTTATAGCATTTTCTGTTCTTCCTGGAATAAGCTTCGCTATCTCCGCCCACCGGTTCCCAACTTTAGTATGAGCTTCGACCAATAGTCTCTCCTCTTCTTCACTCCAGCTATCCTTCTGCAGCAAACCGTCAAAACACAAGAAATTGCCGGATACTTTTAATAGTAATTAAATATAAGACAACACAAGATAACATTGGCGAAATAAAAGGGTTGTTACGGAAAAGGCAATAAAAACTTTTTAAAAGGAATGGCTAAAGTTAATGCCTTTTAATGTCAGTGATAATGATTTGAAAAAAAAAAAAAAAGATACCACATCACATGATACTTGACACTCAAATAAAAAGAAATGAGAAGAAGATGCAAAACAATGTCTGAAATATGAACCGATCCTATGATTTGAATCCAACAAAAATATTACTCCATAAAATTCTATACACTTTCCTAAGTCATGTTCTAATAACCAAATATATATACACGTTAACTGAAAAAAAAAAAAAAAAAAAGCCTTGAAACATGTGGCAAGAGTTTTGACGGAACGTGAAAGGTATTAATTGCATGAAAATGTGTATTGCTTTCCTAATAAAAAAAAGTCCTTTGTTAAAAACTGAACAATTGCTTGCCCAAGAAAACGAGGATTTTAAAGAATTTTATTTGGAATAAAGAAAACATTTTATTGTAGATTTCTTTTTTTTTCAAAAAAAAAAAAACATTTTCTGGTAGATCCATGAATATCTTCAACCCATATAATTTCTGGAATTTCTTTCTCTCCGGGTCGTCGTGTCTGTAGTATTGAAGAATTATGATATATGACGAGAAAAGAGTTTTGGTACTAAAATTGCCATGAGGTGTCTGTATATTCACTAGAATCATGTGTTTTGGCAACGAAAGGCTGACCTCAGTTGCAGCAGTTGAAGAATTACAGTAGGATTAGCTTGAAACCTATCATTAACTCTATGTCTTAAGTGTACAAGAGTTAAGGAACGAAATATAGATCATATGCTGAATAATGTACAATCATTGCTGATGATATATTGTAGGAGCTGATTCTGTTATTTTGTCAATATTGAATGTTACGTTTTCAACAAAAATAAATAAATAAACAAATAATAATAATAATAATAAATAAAGAATCAAATTATTAACCCCGTCGGGTTGAGATTTAAGTCTATCACCAAAACACAAAAAACTAAGACTATCAAGGCAATAAACTTGGCATATACATATATTTTTTTTAATATAAAAATTTGCAACATTAATTCATATATATATATATATATATATATATATATATATATATATATATTAACATTAATTTCCACATCCTTGATGTTGTACTTGGAAGACAAATCGGACAAGGCTATCAGGGGTTTGTCTTGCCAGACACTTGGAAATTAATAGCCCAAAATATGACAATCTGGTCAGTATTTTATTTCTTAGGAACTCCCGAAAATTAAGAAGGCAGAATCTGAGAATCTAAGTCCAAGATTGTCCTTAGATATCCCATCACAGCTTCTCATAAAAAGGAAATCCATAGAAAAGTTCAAAAGATCTAAAACAATATATCTATTATTATAAAAATCACAACACGAACAAAAGATAAAACCAAAATTAACAAACCCTACAGGAAGTGAAAGGAGAAGAAACCTTGATATCAGGCCGTAGATGATTGTGCCACCTCTCACGACACTGCTTTCCAGCTCTACCAGCCAACCTTTCGGCAATTTGAGCCCATTTTCTCACTCCAAATTGTTTCACCAACCTGATCAACTTCCTTCATTACAGAAAAAAGAATCCATAATGTTTCTCTCAAACCATGAAACAATCCATTAAAAAAAAATAATTCAAAAACATGTTAAACAAAATGTCTTTTATTACCTATCTTCTTCTTCTGTCCATTGCCCCTTGATCAAAGTTGCACAAGATCCTTTCTTTGTTTTCTTTCCCATTTCTTTAGAACTTTTCCCTGAAACATTCACTTCTCCAGTGAAACCCCCATTAGGGTTTCCCTCGTATGTCCAATTAAGGCTATCTTCATCAATAAAAAGCCCATCAACAAAACTTGTCTCTGAAAAGCTTGGCCATGGAACAGCACCAATTGCACCATTAGGTGGAGAAAAACCACACAACCCATTTGTTGAAACAAGGGTTTCGTTTTTTTTATCATTGTTTTGAATGTTTTGGGGTGTGAAATGGCTTTGACCAAATAAAAACCTATCTATGGCTGTTAATGGTGGAGTTGGTCGATAGACGGAACGGTTGTTTTGTAAATTTTGATGACCAAAACGGCCACCAAAGCCTCCTCCCCTCCCCCTCCTTCCATCAAATTAAGGAGCTTGAGCTAAGAAGAAAAGGAGAGAAAAGTTGTAGGCGTAGAAATGAGCTTGATTTATGGAGTGGTTTCGTAGGTTTTTACTTCTCTACTTGTAAGAAAACCCCATATCAAAAGCTGGTCATTTTACTTGTACCAAGCCTTGTAATATGCCACATGGCCTAATAACCGTTGATCAACTAATTGATCTAATGGCTGAGAATTAGAGCTGAGTGTAACTCCTGAGCTTCCTCACCCGGACAAAAGTAGGAAAAAGAGGTGGAGAGATTAGTGGGTTCGTTATTAAACTTACAATTAACTAATCATTTCTTAATAAATTCCAAATAATGGACAAAATTGGAAAGTTATCCATCAGGGGAAGGTTGTGGGCACTTACCAATTATGCAGGCATTGGTTTAATGATATTCTTTGCTTGTGAACCATTAGGGTTGGGTACATTAAGATTTATACTATTGATTTGGTTTATTCTAATCTTAATTATTATATTTTAGACAAATATTATCTTTTAATTAATTTGACCGTTACGATTGATGAAAACCCCATATAAAAACTTCAATTTTTGATATTTTGATCTGAAATTTTTCATATGAGCTAATAAATATTCAATTTATTTTTCCAACAAATTTAAAAAAAATACTGAAAAAAGCTTTTTAAATTTTTCTTTAATATTAATTATTAGCAAAATTGAAAAAAATAGTTTGGAATTATCCCAAATTTTATTGAGCGAACTAAAAAAATCATATAATTTATCTTTTTAGTCGTGTATGATTCTCAAAATTTGCGTTGTCAAGTATATAATAACCAATTAAATTTAAAATAGGTTAACTTTAAGAACTATATATGTAAAAATTTTAAAAACTGCACTAAAATTATCTAAGTAAATTCATATGATCTCCTTAAAGCTTTTGGAAAAATTTGAACTTATTTTCTATTTTTTATAATTATTGAATTTTTATTGTTTAAAATGAAAAATACTTTCAAATTAAAAAAAATGAAATTATTTGCAAAAATGGATCGAATTTTAATTAGATTCTATGAAAATTTTTAAAAAGTGTCTTTAAAAGTGTTTTTGGTCAATGCAAATCATCAAATCAAACAAATGGATAATATTTATTCAAAATATGATAATTTAAGTTTATAATTGACTAAATTAATAGTATAAATCTCAATTTGGGGGTAAAAAAATTGTAATTAAATTATCCATAGGCATTTTATGCACCAATAGTGAAAAGACAATTTTGCTGAACAATTTTATGCAAGCCCACTACCATATATAACCGCCAATACCATAATATAATTAAGATGGGGATTCTAATATGGTAAGAACAAGGCCTATGTACTTTTTTGAGAATTAATTCTAGTTATTAGGGCAATGAAATAGTGGAGAATTCCAAGCCTTGGAATTTAATTGCCTGGTTGGCTATCTGCCATATGGCTACCCATTGATTAATTAGTTATTAATTCTCAAGTCATTGAATACCCAGGTACCAAGTAATGACGAGATTTAATACTAATTATTGGGTCTGTTGTTTTATTTTGCAATATATAGGAGTAATAGTGAGAGGGTACTGATGGTATTGTCATATCCATTATAAATCTATTGCCACAAATATTGTTAAATAAAATTTCAAAATTATTTTCAATCTTTTAGAATTAACGAGCAATTCGGTATATTTATTCACGATTTTAGGATTTCAATTAAAAAATTATTAATGTGCCAAGAGGTCCCCCGTAGTTGTTGTTCTTATTATTTTTATTATTATTTGTTTATTGGATGCTAAGGGAATTTTTGGATCATGAATTTACACAATAGCAGCTGAGATTATATTTATTATTATTATTATTATTATTTAAAATATTTTAAAAATGTAAATTCATATGGGTCTGTTGCATTTAAGAAAAATAATTTTTTTAAAATGTTGACTCAAATATTCAAATTCAAAAACTTAAAAATGAAAACACATTTTTTTTATCATAAGATTAACCTCTTATAGTCTTACAATTGTGTATTTTGGATAACTTTTTTTAATAAAATTTTATTCGAATCTTATTTATTTTTTTATTATATAATTTCTAAAGAGTACAATCAGATCTAGGTCCAGTAAACTATTGAAAGAACCTAAAGAAAATAATTAAAAATATATAAATGATATGAGAGGAGTTGACATGTCGTACTTAATTAGGCCGATACTCTTGCATTCTTCTACTAGCGGGCCATTTAAGACACCCAGAGGAAGGACACTCCACAACTGCAAGCTTTCATATTAGCCCATGACTATAATATAATAATCTGATAAAACATTTTACTCTGTTTTTCGTAACTGGACCGCCCCGTAAAAGGCAACGATTGCATTTTACGGTTTAACTCCTCCTCGTCCTTCTTAAAGGATTTCGTTTTGAAATTTCGAGGAAAATGCAGAAATGACCAATAAATTCAATTTTATATCTTTTTAAGGAAGTCATGCATTTTACGGTTTAACTCCTCCTCCTCCTCCTTCTTAAAGGATTTCGTTTTGAAATTTCGAGGAAAATGCAGAAATGACCAACAAATTCAATTTTATATCTTTTTAAATAAGTCAAACTTATTATACATGGTACAATACAGTAACTGTGACATATTCATATAATCCGCGCTGTAGAACGTGCCTTCTCCGTCTATTAAAAGGACAATTGTCCCTCAACAGAATCATAACCAGAATTGTCTTCCCAATAATATAGAACTTTATGGTCAGGCAAACAATAGAGACTTCACAATCAGCATCTTGAATGGGATTTCTCTCTCTAGGCTAGACACAAAGGAAAATCATTTAATAAAGACATGGTTCCAAGGAATGTTCATCGTATCAACACTAGACAGGAATGTTTATCATATCAGCACTAGACATGACTTCATATTCACTGATACTTACAGACATTCGCGTAAAGAGATCCTTAATTTGCAAATAAATTTCAGAATTCATGATACATAAGAAAAAAGACTTCATCACCTTCTCCTTAGTACACGTTGATCATTTCTCCCATTATATAAAGGCTAACACTTTATCTCTTACAAGTTCTACCTTTTAAACTAAAAAATAATATAGTGTCATATATCTTCTTCAAATTAAGACTACTCAGATGTCAAACACTTTTCTACGTACGTTAGTTTAGTCATTGGAGAATCTTTCAAACACTAGAGGATGACTTATCATACATGTACTCGTCATTGATCTCCCGTATAACAAATTGTTTTCAATCACACCACTACAAAAAAAAAGGGCAAATAGCAACGAAACTCAATGAAGGATTCAAAATTCATAGCTAAATAACGATAAATTACCAAATGATTGTCGAATATCGAATTTAGCGACTAGCTATCGACCACTTTACGATGGATAGTCAACAACATACAATGTATGGTTGTTGACCATCTTTAAATATGGTAGTAAATATTTGCGGTTGTTTCAACGGACGAATTGGAGAGGAAATTCAACAACGATTAATACTTCAATCCGTAGCTAATTTTTATATAATGTTTAGCGAGGGAATATTCCCTTGCCAATTGTTGAAGTGGTCGCCAACTAGCGATGAAACCAAACCCTTCGCTTTCTCTTAACCAAAATTAATCACAAATTGAGTTAGTCAATCACTATTTTTTATTAAAAATAGATGATCATTTGAAATTCAAAATAAGTGACCGACACTTAATTTAATCGCCGACTAGCAACTAATTAGTGATGAGTTAGGGATGGAGTCCCATGCATCGCTAAAATTAAATCCCTAGATTGATAGATTCTCTCTCTCTCTCTCTCTCTCTCTCTCTCTCTCTCTCTCTCTCTCTCTCTCTCTTCTTTCTCCTTTCCCTCCTCCTCTCACCACTCGCCATCCGTAACCATTGATGTTGTCTACAACACCCCTTCACAAGACCTCACAAAGACCACTCCTTCACTCTCCCATCAATATCCAACCACTCCAATTGATTTTTTTTCGAAAATAGCAATGGTATCTCCTCTCTCTTGGGTGTGCTTTGCCTTGCGTGTGTCGCTCTCTTTCTCTACCGAAAGAGAAGTCCAAGTAGGTACCAATGGAAATAAAAATATGTTTAATTTTTATTCTTGTTTTCACTTTATTTATTTCAACCAAACACCTATAAAATAAAAATAAAAATTTTCATTTTTATTTTCATCATTTCATTCCTTATTATTAACGATTCGTGAGATTTCAGCATCTATATTGATTGTATTTGTTGTTCATCTTTCTTGAAGAAGTTGGAAAAATAATGGTGGTGACCTCTAAAGACTCGCAAGCATCAATGGTAATGGTGGTGGAGGGTGACCTAACGGGCCTACTTTAATGGCTAAGTCAATATTATTATGGAACTATATAGATTTTAAAGAGACGAGAGAGAGAGATAAATCTCTAAAATTATGTGTGTATGCTAGTGTTGTTGAATTTATGATTTATGAAGAAAAAAGCTCTTATATATAGTAGAAAATAATGGATATAGGGCATCCCTTTGGAGTGTTGAACCAAGTGGATATGAGGCTTCAATTGAGAGAGCCCATAATTGTGAGAAGGCACATCTTAATGCACTTTTTTAAGGAGCTTAAATTTCATATCTTGTTAGTTGCCTTCCTTTCTTAAGCGAAGCTCACTCAAATTGAGACATGATGATGTTTTCGTTTGTAATTTGGTTAAATTGGAGCTTTGGAGGTACTTTTTGCCATATTTGAACTATTCGGCCATTTTGTTTTAAGAGTTGTTTGGATGGATCATAGTTATTAGTTCTTGGAGGAATGTAATCCTGGAGTAGTGGAGATTCCCGAAAGAATGAACTATCTAAGACCAAGTTTCTAGAGGAGTAGGTTCTTATTAACACCTAATTTTTACCTTTATTATTTTTGTTTCTATTTTTTATTACAAAATACAAAAAAAAAAAAAAAAAGCTATAAACAAAACAAAAGTGCCAAGTATAAAAAGAAAAAAAGAGAGAAAAGATACAAAAAATAATCGAAACAATTAACTTAGATTAATTCCAGAAAATGGAGCTAATTAAAAAAATAAAAAGTTTGGAAATAATAAAAAAAGACAATTGAGGCCCAATTAAAAAAAAATTCAAAATTTCTATATTTTAATTAAAATAAAAAGGGGCAAAAGTGAAAGAAATCAAAAAGAAAAGTCCTAGTTAATTGAGATTTAAGAGGTCTCATAGAAACAAATAATTAAAATCGGACTTAAATCGAAGAACGTAGGAACCATGGACCAAATTGAACTTTTGCAGAAAAAACCTAAAAAACTACCAAACCATTTTTATATACCCTACACTGTTCATCCCTCCCATTTTTTGCACCAGCTGACAGTATTCATCTCTTCCTTTTTTTTTTTTTTTTTTGCACCAGTTGACCCTCTGCAACAAAGGAGACTCCCTCACTCTCAACTGTAGCCATAGCCTTCCCTCTTTGCCTCACCAATACAGCCCGCAGCTCCAGCTCTACCCCCAAGCCCCCTCGGGCGCACAGCCTCGCAACAGGCCAGCGCCCCACGCCCCTCGCGTGCTCAGCCTCGCAGCAGGCCATCGCCCCAGTCCTCCCTCGCCCACACAGCCAGCTAGCCCCAAGCAGCCCCCTAAAGCCGACAACACAACCCCCACACATCCAGCTCGCCTCAAGAAGGACCCCACACAGCCCCTCTCACCCAAGACACCCCACAACACGGCCACTCCACTGTGCCCTGCTTCAGCCCGCAAGCCCTTCCTCGCGCGCCCACGCCAGCCTCGCCGGCCAACGCAACCCGCGAGAGTCAGGCCTCCAGTTTCTCCCCCACAGCTGCATGCCCACAGGCCTCCTACTCCCCCTACAGCTGCATGTCCACAGGCCTCCTACTCCCTCCACAGCTGCACGCCTCGCCCACTGGCTGGCCAGGCCTCCCTCACCCACAAGCCAGGGCGCCTGCCGGTCATCCAGGCCACTCCCACAGGCCAGCCAGCCTTGTTTCTAAGTAAAATTGGTTCCCGAACACAGGTCAGCGCGCCTTGTTTCACTCTCTAAGACCAAGTTTCTAAAGGAGTGGGTTCTAAGAGGAACGAAGATTCTGGAAGGAATGGACTCTCTGAGGAGCAGGTTCCCGGAGGAGTGGGTTCTTGGAGTATAATAAAATAATATAAGAACACAAATTCAAAAAAATTGCATGTTGCCCAATTTCAGAGGATTTTTTGTAATTATTTAGGTATTTTATAATTTTATTTATTTATTTATTTATTTATGAGATTATAAGACATGCTGGTATTTTATTCCTGATTTAAAGAAAGAAATATAAAAAGAAAGTAATAAAAATATAAATAAATAAATAAATAAGAAAAGGAAAGATAAAAGGGAGGATTGAAAAAGTCATAGGTAAATGAACAAAAAAAAAAAAAAAAGAGCCAGAAGAAAACAACTAAAATTAGAAAAACAAATTTAGAAAGAATTTAAAAATAAGAAAGGATTGATAAAAAAGAAATTAGGGTGAAAACTAAAGAGGATTAAAAAGAAGGGGGATTAAAAAATGATTTATTTACCAATTAAGGAGTGTAATTGAAAGAAAAATGAAAACTCGAGAATCGCAACAAGATAGGCGTTGAAATACAGAGACCAAAATAAGAAATAAGAGAAACAATGCATTTTGTGTAAAACAAAAGAAAAAAAAATACAGAACCGAAGATACAATGTCATTTCTCTAGGTCAATTCCCATCAGTTTGTCTGTTTCCTTCTTCTTTTGGCTTGCTTTTTCTTTTTTTTTCCTTTCCTCCTTTTTGACAACTTTTTACGCAATTTTATCTTTCATTATTAGATTTGATTTCATCCCTTAATACAACGTCTAGAAACATTCTTCTATCTCGTTTGTATATGAACTAATTTTTGGCTAAACAAGAGTAGCCAATGAGCTCCAAAAACAGCCAAAATTCTTGCTCAAATATTCTGCTATAACAATCCCTCCAAGTTTGGAAACAATCTTGAAATGGTCGGGGAGGGCTATGAAAATCACCATGAAATTAACATCATGTATGCAGGTAAGTACTCTCTTTCAGACTCTATAAATAGAGCAGAAAATCAAGAGAAAAAACAACACAACGACATCATAAAAACTACTTAGAAAAAGGAGAGAAAAAGAAGGAAAAGAGGAAGAAAAAAATGTGAGAAAAGAGAAATTAAGAGTAGCACAGAAAAAGAATCCCTAGTGAATTTATAAGCAATAACAGAAGAGAAAGTAAAGAAGAACAACAGGTAAAATGATTTCAATGTTGATTCTGCATTTTTTTTTTTTTTTTTTAAGTTTTGGCTGAACCTTAACCACTCTCTTTTCTTGGTAGAAAACTTGCACTAGGGGTATAATTTTCGAGCTTTTGGGTTGGCGTAATAAAAGATAGCATGCTATTAGCATTGTTGTATTAGCTTTTGGTACTATTTTGTCTTCTTCTTTTTTCCCATGTTTTTTGCCATGAAAATCACAGCCATTCTTGAAGAAAAACGTAGAAACTTGCATTTTGAGCAATTGTACATGTTTTTAAAGGTTGACTTGGTTTTATATAGTTAAATCCTAGGGTTTGTTAGTTCCTTTTATTTAGATAATTTAATATATAGTTTTTAACTATACCCTTCAATTTCACATAGTAAGGGTTACATCAACAAAGTTTTAGACATAAGTGTTGTGCTGGTCATTCATGATTTGAGCAAGTTTTTTTTTATTTGATTTTAATCTAAATTTGTAGTTTGTTGTAAATACATATGTTCTCTAATTATGTGTCAAATTTTATAATTTTTTTGAGATCATTTGAGCACTCACCTAATTTTTTTTAGCTCATACTATACAATTAAAAATAAATTGATTAAAATTTTTACCCTTAAGTCGGAGATTTTATATTTATATTTATATTTTTAAGGAAATGAGTGATTTTCACATGATCTTCACCTATAAACATTATTTAATGTTAATATTCTAAAATATTTCTTTACTTTAAATTTTAGGAATCTATAACATTCTAAAATGTTGGGTAATTTTGTTCTTCTAGACCCATTTTAATCCATCATCACTGTTAGTCCTTGGTTTTGTCCATATTCTAAAATATTTAACTTATCTTTATTTTGTCAATATGTTTTTGAGATGATAGTAATGTCGAATTATAATACGATTCGATACTAAATTAACACGAATCTCGATTTTAGGACTTGATGGTAATTTAATATAATTTCACCATAAATCTTAATCAATTTAATAAATCTTAAATTGTTAAAACATTTTTTTACATGATATTCATGTCGGGACTACAATCAAATCCGATGTTAAATTGATATGATTTCTAATTTCAAAACTCGATAAAAATTTAAAATGATTTCACAATAAATAATAAATTCTTCAATATGCTCCAAAATAGATCCCATTAAATAAACCATAAAGAATTAATTCCCTCATATTAATTCGGAATTTACAAATGACTTGACTATTTATAAACTCCAAAATAAGATTAGAAATATTTTGATAAATACTATTTTTTAAAGAAATGATTTAGAAATAGAAAAATTCGAGTAAAATTGCTTAGAAACAAAATGTTTTGGGTGATTTTTATCTTGTCATAAATATAACCAACTTCTTATAGTAATCTCTACAACACCAGTAATTTATGTTTTCAAGTCTTCTTAAAGTACTAGGTGATGACTCTTTACTTTTTCAAAAGGACTCATGTCGAGTAGTGATACAAAGGAATGAAGATTCCACATAGAATAGACTCACTAAGGAGCAAGTTCCTAAAAGAACGTATTTCTAAAAGAAGTGAGATTCTTAGTGGAATAGACTCTTTGATGAGCAAATTCTTGGATGAACAGGTTCTAAGAGGAACATAGATTCTTAAAAGACTAAACTCTCTAAAGGACGAGTTCCTAGAGGAACATATTTATATAAGAATGGAGATTCCTATAGAAATAGACTCTTAGAGGAGCGAGTTCCTAAAGAAATATAATTCCTAAAGGAATGGATCCCTAGAGGAGTATTATCATAAGTTTTTAGAAGGACGTGGATGTAGGTTCTTGAAGAAATTATATTTTTAAAGGACCATCATCATAAAGAATCGTGGTTCTAGGTTCTATGAGGAATGTTACTATGAGTCCTTATTAGAAGTGGTCGTAGGTTTCTAGAAGAATGTATTCCAAGAGGAACATCATCGTAAGTTCTTAGAATAACGTGGCTATAACTCCTAGAAAAGCCAACTCTTTGAAGAAAAGTGGGATCTTTGAGGATGGATGGACTCCTTAGGGGAAAATGGGTCCCAAGGAAAGATTGACTCCCTGAGGGAGATAGATATGAAGAGGGTTGGAATCTCTAATGAGAGGTGGATCCCGAGAAGGGTTGGACTCTATAGTGAATGAGTTATCCCAAATAAGAGGATTTTGGAGCACATGTACCAAATTTTAGTATATGGAAAAAACCAAAGACTAACAAGTGATGATGGATTAAACTTGGGGAATGATACGATTGGCATCGAAGGTAGCAAAAACTTGATGGATTGAAGAAAAAAGGATGAGACGGACTATTAGGTGTGTCGTGGCAAGTGGTGAGACATGGTTGAACCTCTCTTTGCATTTATAGCATCGAGCAATGAGAAAATGGTGCCTTGACTAATGATGTTACTTTGTCTAATCGAGGTTGTGCTTGGTTGTCCACTAAGTGTTGCCGGTGGAGCTCCTATGGAGGTTTGGTGATTCATTTTCGCTTCTTTCTCCTTTTTTTTTCTTTTCTTTCGTTTACCGAGCCATATCGGTTTCTCTTTTCTTTTCTTTTTCCCTATTTTTTTATTCTTTTTGTCTTTCATCCCTTTCATTTTTACTTGTTCATTCTTGTCCATCCTGCATTAAAATGGACGCGCCTATCTAAATTTTTCTCATACAAGTTTTCTTTTTACTAATTGGTTAGTTATGTACAAGATGATTATCCGGGTTTGTCCTAGATGGTGAATATTAACTAATCATTGATGCGTGTCAAGCACAACCAAAAATAAATTATCTTACTCTTTATTTTTAAATTACGGATAGTGTGAGTATAGGTCGAATCCACAAAGACTAGTTATTCAAATTGATTCTTTAAGATCAGAATAAACCAATGAAAATAAATTAAAAAGAGTGATTTTTTTATAAAGTAATTTCGAAGAAAAGCGAACTCAACAACTAAAAATTTGACAAAAACAAGTATCGATTCAAGAGGAATTAATCACGACTACAAATTCATCACCGACATTGTGTGTGTGAGTGTGTGTGAAAAGTAAACCCTAATCTTCTCTACGTTCATTAATTTGAGGCAACATCTAAACTAAATACTTATTACTAATTGATTTGGTCCTAAGAAATCCTTTTCGGATTAATAAGAAGCTAATGATGAACAACAAAATTACCCAACATAACTTATTTAATTCATTCTCTTTCTCCCGTAAGCAAGCAATAAAAACTTGGTCCATAATCATGTTGTTGCCTAAGTGCTACTCTAATCAAGTTTCATAATAATTATGGATTATTACCTCAATTTAGCATTAGACCATGCAATTCAATTAATTAATACACATTTCAATCAATAGAATCACCTAGTCATAAACAAATAAAATCAAGAAATAAAGATATTTGAATAGAAGAATAATTTTGATTAAAAATATTGTCTCATAATTGTACTAACCGATTAAATTCTCTTGAATCAACTATAGAAAATTAGCCGGACATGAATCTAAAAATATCAAATATTATTCGAGAGAAAACATGAAAGGAGAGATATTTCTATCTTTACAAGTCCTTTTTAATCTCAAAAGATAGGAAATTAAAGTCACAATCGTAACCATTCTTAGAAATTAGTATTGGTGATTTCCAGCTTTGCATTCTTACGCAGATATAGACTATGTACATGCTGAAAGAGGGTTTTCAATCTTCGGAAGAGTTACAACCCTATTCCTCAACTTTCCAACACATCAAGCCTTACATCAAAAAAAGTCCAAAAATCGAGTTCTAGGCTAAGAACCGTAAATAACTCAACTAGTCCATTCAAACTTAGGAATTCAAATTCGTAGCTAAATTACTCGTTTAAACGGACATAGTTTGGACTCGGGCTTTTCATAATAATTATAGATATACTTTCAAATGCTTTCATGGGCTTGTCTTTTCATTAATTAGAGGTCTAAAACTTTATATATGAAATAAAATCTACAACTAGTCTCGAACCCTAAGTAGGATTTGGATCGGCTATTCGGACCGGACTATGAAACATTTTTTGGAGGCAAAAAAAAAAAAAAATCAAATTTTGACCCATGATATTATTTGGGAAAGCTTGAGATGTTCTCTATAAAATTTCTACGGACCATTTCTTCTAATTATATCACTAAGGCTACTGAAAAACTATAAAAAGCTTAGAACGTCTAAGTCAAACATGTTGAAATTTTCTAACTTTAAGCACAATTTCTTACAATTCTTAATTTTATGTTCTAAACATGAATATGGGCATTAATTATTGTAATAAAACATAAAACATAGCAAATAAACTAAATATTAATAGAATAAAGATATAATATAATATATCTATCAATCATGCTCATCAAAGTATGCCTACCCTCCTAGTTTTGGCCAAGTTTGGCTTTACTCGGATAGTGGACAATAAATGAGGGTAAACCTCCTACCTAATCTGCATAGTTAGTTGATGTTTAAAGAAAATAATAAAATATATGACAAGTGAATGTCAACATCAAAAATATGTTGCAAATTGGAATAATTACCACGTGATGGCCTTACCTCATTTTGTCTACTTTTTTGATGCTTTTTTTACTAAAATAATAAAATAATAGGAAAGCTTTTTTTTACTAAAATAATAAAATAATAGGAAACTAATAATTCATACATTTTTCATGAAGGTGTTGAAAAAATTCCATGTAATTTACTAAAATAATAAAATATTAGGAAACTAATAATTAATACATTTTTCATGAAGGTGTTGAACGAATTCCATGTAATTTAATTAACACCCAAGTAAAAAATATATGAGTATAGCAGAGATAAAAAAGATAACATAAACAAATAAATTGATCATCCTCTCTATTGAATGGTGATATTACAACAAATCTATACATCATTTTTTTGATGATGTGCTTCTTGAGTTAACAAAAAAAATTACCCCATTCGAAAATGATGGATACTTAAGTGGAGCATATATCGTGCAACCACATATGATGTTTCATATGGAGGAGGAAACCGTTATTTTTAGATTGGAGATCGGTAGATATGCATGGGAAACTAATTTTTGCTTAGTTTCCCATAAACAATTCCACTAACAATGCATTAAATTTTAGCATTTGAATTGATTATATTTATTACTCGGTGTCTTGAAGTTGTTGAAAAAATGATGGTGCTTTTGTTTAAAGGCCTACAAGAATGAAGCATAAGCATCGGTGTTAATGGTACTAAAAGATGCCTTAATGTGACCACTCTAATAGCTAAGTCATTATTTTGAATATATTGTGTATATTTTGAGAGAGAGAGAAAGATGGTTTTCCGAAATTATATGTGTGTTGGTGATGTTGAACATGTGTTTTATTAAAAAGAGAGTTGAGAGTCCCTATTTATGTAGTAGGAAAGTAATGGATATAAGGCATACCACTAAAATATTAGATTAAGGCTCATTTTGTTTGACGAAAAACAACTTTCAAGAGGAAAATCAATTCTAGAGAAGCTATTTTTCGGGAAGTTATTTTTCGAAAAAATATTTTCTCGACGTTTGGCAATTACATGAAAAAAGCTGCTTAAAAATATATTTCGGATTTTATTTGATACAAAAACAGGTTTGTAATTATTATATCAACGAATTTTGAGAAAACTTCAACAAGGCATATAACTATTTCATAATATAAGATGCATTTAGAAAAATTTAATAAATGTTTATAAATACTAACTCTAAGATTTAAAATCAAAAAATAAAATATGCATTTTTAATCATCAAACCAATTCATCAAAACTACTTGAGATAAAATCAATTCAATATTCACATTTAGTAAAAAAAAAAAAAAATTTCTAAGTAATCCTAGCATTGTTATTTTGGTAACTCAATTAAGAATTCTTTTTTTTTTTTTGAAAATTAACTCGATAATTTAGTCTAAAAAATTGTTTTACAAATTATTAGTTATCATTTCTAGATAATTATTCATTTGGTTTCAAAAGATTAATGTTGGAATAATTTATAACTAATTATTGACTACAATTACCAACAAAATTTTACAACCGATTAAAATTAGTCACAAATTATTAATTTAGTTATAAATGAATAGTGTTGAAAAAATAATGTATTTATTAATGAATTAATTTGCTTTAAATTTTTCACAAACGATTGCAGTCTTGTAATAATCATTTCTAATCATTTAAGTATAGTTTAGGTGGTGCTTGAGATAATGATTAAAAAAATAGAGATAAATTATTGAAATATTTATTATAAAAATAATTTTAAGGTGTAAACATGGTTTTTAAGAATATTTAATGTATTTATAAATCGAAATCAAATGTTAGTAGAAATAGAAAAAATAATTAAATAATTAATAATAATCGATAAGAAATAATTAAAAATTAATTTGATATATTTTAAATAAAAGGAGACAGAAAAAAATTATTAAAATATATCAAGAATAAGGTGAGTAGCGCGAAAAAGAGACAACTCTAGAGAGAGGAAAAAACATTTCTCTTTTTTCAACTCGAAAAACATTTTTTTAAAATTATTTTATCATTTTTCGTAGATTTTTTTCCTAAATACGAAAAAAAAAAATTGAAAAATAAGAGAAAATAAAAAAATAAGTTCCTCAGACTTATTTTCTCCAAACAAATATAGCCTAAAGTCCTGAGAGACTTCAAGAGAGATAGTCCACGATTATGAGAAGTCTATTCTTGTGGACTTTTGTAGGATGTACAAATTTCATACTTCTTTAGTTATCTAACAATACCTCAGTACATAAGATTCAACCTCGACACTAACATGTTCGGCCTAACTCGACTTGGACCCTAACATCACAATTAAGGCCAGATCAGACCAAGCCCTGATCATAACATCCCTGACACCTCCAGATCTTATTGGGGTCTAGCCTGACATTTCAGCTTTTTAGATCCGATTCATTATATAACAAACGTAGCCTTGAACCAGCTGGCACCCCTAGACCCAGCCCATCCCCAAGCCTGACCCATCCTTATTCTAACCCCACAACCAAACCACCAACCCCCAAAACACGAAACCAAATCAGATATTGCCTCAACCCAAACACGTTGGACCTAGTCGTTGTCGTTTCAGCATAATTTTAAAGTTTATGAGTATTTCTTAAATTGTTTTTCACTTTTTTTTTTAATCATGTAATCCTTCCTTTTATATATATATTTTTGGCAAAGGACACACTTATCCCCAAACTATCACTCGTTTCTCAATTGCCTAACCAAACAAAAAATATTTTGAATTGGTCCTCATATATCAGATCATTACCTAATTAATCCCCACCTTAAAAATATTCCTTTAAAAGTATAAAAAAAAACTAAAGACTAGTATTGGTCTAAAATGATGTCACTCTCGTCATGAATTGGGTAACGTTTGCTAGACGCCGCGCGAGGGGGGGGGGGGTTGGCGGGGGTGTGTTGGGAATAGTTAATATCCAATTGAAAATCTTGTGACATTTTTTAGGGAAAAATTTTCTTTATCCTATATATATATATAGTGTTTACTGCGAGTTGAAATGTTGCAAGCTATTTACTTTATACAATCATCTAATTCATTAAATTTTAAAAAATTATAAAACAAAAATTAGGAATGTATTGACGAGTAATCAGTGTTTCAAATTTTGGGAAAAAAAAAGGATGGCACTGGCAATTATTTTCACCAATGTAACGGTGAGAATGCTAGATATATCATTAAGCTAGTATTATCGTTCAAGTGAAAATCCATGAACCCTCTTTCCTTTCTTTGGGTTCTCTTTTAGTAAAAGAACCTTAGCCTCTGCCGGTGATTTTTTCACTAGTGGTAGCCTTTCTTCTCCTTAATCCTTCTTCATCTTTTTTCTTTGTTTTGTTTTTAAGTATATTAACAATTTAGATCTAGATTTGATTTGTACACAAAATTTCTACATTGTTATGGTATTCTGTCATTAGAATAAGTTTTTTTTTTTTTTTTCCTTTGTTGGGTTGTGGTGGATTTTTTTTTATTTTTTTGTTAAATGAAAGAAATTGATTTTTTTTTTGACAATTTTAAATGGTTGAGATTTTCTATCAATGAGACCTAGTAGTATGGTTCATTTTTCTATTAATTTATGGTGATGCTAAACTCAACTGTGTTGGGTAATATATAAACATTTTTGCATTTTTTCTAGTCATTCTTTATGAAGTTTCAACGAGTTTTTATTATTGTTCATAAAAAAATTATTTATTATCTAAAACATAATTGTTCATCATTTTTGTAAGCGGATTTTATCTGGCTTTTTCGATGTAACAAGTTGTAATTCGCTTATTAGTTTTTACTATCATTGTGGCGCAAAACCAATGATGTAATTGTTTGATTTATAATATAAATAAAATTACTATCTGTTATTTAAAAAATAATGAAATTCGGGAACCTATATATGGCTGCAAAATTCAAATACGAGTAGAAGATTATCCTCAAAAATTAGCCATAGACTATTACTATATATAAAGCTATGCATTTTTTTATAGGGTTTTGCACATGTATGGTCCGTGTATTTTTTAAATTATTTTGATCGAAATCTTATTTTATTTTATTTTTCTGTTGATTGATTTTATTTATTCTTCGTTTTGTTTTATTTTTATCCCTTTGTCATATAACGTTGTTAGTTAGTGAGTTGACATAGCACGTTCACTCCCAAATGGTATCATACATGAAACTTAAAAAACAATGACTCAATCAAAACAATTCAAAGAGTATAAGGCTTCAATCAAAACAATTCAAAAAACCCAAGAACCAAATTATTACTTCTCTTTTAGTTTATTTATTTTTTTTTTTTTTAACATCATTCTAAATGCATGAAATGTGTTATATGTGAGATCTCATCACAACAAAACTATAAAGTTTTTATTTATTTTAAATAATGTTATAATAAGTTAAAGACAATAATAATAAAAAAAGAGAATCTAACATGCAATGGTAAGAACAAAAATATGGTGATGTGCAATATTGATTAGCTACGGATTCTTAGTTAATGTGTCTAATTTTTTACAAAAAGTAAGAAATTTTAAATATTTAACCAATTCAAGTAAAAAAATAATATTTGCATTGATTCCTTATGTGGAATACGATTCACCGCATTGAAGATGGGTTTTTTTAAAAAAAATAATTTGTTCTCTATAATATTTGAGTTGTTTTGATTGAAACTCTATACTCTTTGAATTATTTTGATTTAGTTTTTTTTATTGGCGTTCCATGTATGGCATTTATTATCCATTTAAGAATGAACGTGTCATGTAAGCTCACCAATTAATAACTTTATAATGGAGGGATGAAAACAAAATAAAGTAAAAAGTTGAGAAATTTAATTAATACAAAAATGAATATACAATCTTAATTAAGATAATTTAAAGAGAATAAAGACTACAAAACCCTTTAATTAAACTTAGCCCAAGGCTAAAAAACCTTTTAAAATAACTTCTAAGTTCTTAATTGAGGAGAAAAAGAAGAAGTTATTTATTGCTTTAGTAGCTTGAGGATGCTTTACCCCTTGTTTGGATAAGGAGGAGAGTGGAGGAGAGGAAAGAAAATAGGAAAGAAAGGAAAGTTTTCCTCCATTTGGTTTGGAGAGGAAAGCAGTGGAAAGAAAAAAAAATTAAAAGAATGTCTTTTTGGTGGGATCCATTTTCCTCCTAAAATTGGGAGGAAACGATGAGAAAAGTATGAGACATATCTTTTATTTTTTATTTTTTATTTTTCACATTTTACCCTTGCCTTAGCCGCCCCCTCATTTTCTTCTCTCTAGTAACGGATCTACAAAACAGATATGTAAATCAAGTTATCGAACGTTTTATCCACCACCAAAGGCCCCAAAAAAGATGGACTCGCTAATCAAAGAGTCTCTCTTACCAAACCCCCTCCACCACCATTCATAACCCACAAATCCACCCTACATTTCCTTCTCTACAAGTCCCCAAAATCAAAACTTGCATTAGATTTCTTCGTTCGTCGCTCCACCCGCTTCGTTTCCAAGCTCTATTTCGGGCGGCCCATAACCACCATGGGTACTTGCCACACCTCGGTCGCCCAGAAGCTCTCCGAATGTAATAGAGTATGGAAAAACGAGGAGGCCCTTGAAAATGTGTTGCTTAATTTCAAGTCTCGTCTTTTGGGTCGGATGATTATATTTTCTTGCTTCGGGAGCTTGGTAATCGAGGAGACCGTAAGAAAGCCATTTGTTGCTTTGAATTTACAGTGAAAAGGGAGAGGAAAAGGAACGAACAAAGTAAATTGGCGAGTGCCATGATTAGTACTCTTGGTAGGTTAGATAAAGTAGAGATTGCTAAGAGTGTTTTTGAGACTCGCTTTTATTTATACAAATTTATTATAAGTATTTAAATATAGAAATATAATTATAGAAGTATTATAGTAAATATACAATAATACATTTTCTTTCCTCTCTCTTTTTATAGTTATCCAAATAAGAAAAATATACTTTCTTTTCTTTTATTTTTATTCTTATCTAAACAATAAGTGAAAAATAATTTTTTTTCTCTCAAGAGAAAATATCAAAACAAAGGGTTTTGTAGCTTGAGGATGTTTTAGTCTAAAGATTTAAAAGGTTTTCTTTTCGTAATTATAAACAACGTAAGGAAATTCAAACAAAGCAGCCAATGAAATTAAAGAGAGAAAGGTGCTTACGGTCTTTTAGATTTCGAGTGTTGAACCTTATTTAAGAAGATCGGACATGTTTCAATTAATGGTGTTGAAGTTTGAGAGATGGGGCAGGGAAAGAGGTACGAAAGGAGGTGTTGATAGAGCATTTAAAAACTAGTTTTCCTGAATTGACCTCTAAAATGAAAAGAACGCCTTTTGGCCCCGTCAAATTCAGTACTTGAGATTTGGAACCTGGACCCGTTCTTTGGCGAAAATGGAAGAGGGAGGTGGGAACAGTATGGAGGGTAAATGAGAAGAGATGGGAGTAGCTTAGTATCACCATCACTTCACGTGAAAAGCTGTCACGTTGTGCTTGGACTAATTCAATCCCAAGAACCGAACCAAAGCCCCATGATATACATTGCATTCAATATGTTTTTGATATTTAAGCTTGATTAATGCTCTCGTTCGATCAAATTTTTCATATGAAGTGGGCATTGGGATCCAAAGCTATAACTTGTAGCAAATATACTTTCTGCTTGGAATAACAAATTAAAATACCATATTAATAAATAAGCTACGACAAGAACAACATTACAAATTACCAACAATAATTTGAAAAACATTATTTGAACATTTGCATGTGCATCTACATATAATTTCTGATGTATACTTGCTCAATTGGATAGATGTGTTTGATGGGATCCATCGAGAGAAAGTTTAGATGGACGCTAAAAAGATCGTCTTCACCAATCCTTAAAAGCCACAATCAACTACCTTTCTCTTTTTAGATTCTTCATTACTGTTCATTCTTGCAAATCAGAAGTTGACATCCATTATCTAAAAAAAAATTACGCGATAAATGTTCTAATTCGACCAATAAAAAAGAAAGTATTTTTTCTTTTTATGTACTTTGTATTTTTTTTATTGATATTATAGTTAATAAAATATCTTTCAATTAGCATTCACATCAAATTAAAATTTATCATTATTTATTCGATAATCATACGTAGAAACCACATCAAAAGGATAAGCTGCCTCAATAAAAAGTTTACAACCATAAAGTTTACAACTGAATTGAATCAAGTGCACTTCGTATACAAGATGACTCTATTTGAGGCTGAGAAAAAGAATAAAATAATACAAAAATTAAAAAAAAATTTATTTATCTAAGACATTTGATTTGAGTGAATAAAGTTTTAATTATTTAAATAAATATTTTCGAATTCAAGTCCGTATGTATGTAAAAATTTTTTTGAATAACTACATTTATTTTGTACGCTCAATAGAATAACAAAAGATTAATCTGAATTTTTAAATTTTGAATATTTCAAAAAATTTAAAAAAAAAAATTATTTCTTCACATATAAGTTTTTGAGTTCTCTATAAAGAAAATACAATAAGTTTAAAAAATTTATTGTGAAACCAAGTGCAAGTAACAAGCTTTAATGAACTTGCAATTACCTACAGTCCAGCGTAAGGAATCATTTTTTTTTTTTTACAATAGCTTTATAATCAAATGATTTTCATTTGATTTCACTGGCCAAAAAATGTTACTACTTCATCTTCATGTCACATATGGCTTAAAAAATCAAATAATTGAAAAAACCAAAGCCACGCTATTCGTTTCTTTTTTTTTTTTGGAAAAAAAAGCCTCAAATTTCAATTATTGGACAATTCACTAAATCAAACAGTGTACCCACCATAGCTTAAAAAACAAGAGGACAAGATGCGATTTCTAGATCGCATAGAGAAAGAGAGAGAGAGAATTGAGAAAGTTTTTGTATTCAAAGGGCATATATTGACAAATGGAATAATTACACTTTGCCATGTGGTGATGCACCAAAAAGGGCAAAAAAAGAAATTACATACCCTACTGTGCATATCTAATAGCCGAAACTACCCCTCCTCCAATTGCCCACATGTCTAAACCAAATAAAACGCTAATGCTGCCACGCTTGCGTGCATATTACCAATTAATCCTCTCAATAGTCACGTGCATCCCTACTCCAAACACCATCGGCCCACCACCCACACACACCATTCACATTCTACCATCCTCCCAAATATCCCCTCAATCCCTAAAAAGAAAGAAAATTTGAGAAAAAAAAACAATGATAAATTTCTTTTCTTTGTATTTTCGGCAGAAATATCATCATTATTGCAACTTTTCCTTTGGTCAAGAAGTATAAAACAAAGGGAATTGTGATAAGGTGTTATAGCCTGAGGATTTTTATCTCTTTAATTGATTCTCTTCTTTTTCATTTTTGTTTTTTTCTTTTTATCCTATTAAACTTCTTGGGCATTATCTGGGGTGCTAAGAGGGAAACACGTGTCCTCTCCACCAGTGTTCCAAAGAAAATGAGCATAATTAGCAGCATAATAAGAGTTTGCAGGGTCAGCAGAAATGGCTTCTAAGAAAGTTTCCTCAGCTGCCCACAAGTCCTTCCTCGCATGCCATAGAAAGCTTGCGTACTTGCTGTACGCCTCTGCATCTGGTGGCTCCACCCCTGTTGCTTTCTTAAAGTATTCCTCTGCTCTGTTAATTTACACATAAAGAAAAGGGTTTCTAATTAGTCAACCAATTTGTTAACTTGATGGTTGTAAAAGCCCTAGCTTACTAAAAGATGAAGCACAGAAATAGTATTATATAAATAAACAACAAGTGATAGTCAACAGACCAAGCTATACGCAAGTTGAAGAAAATCTTAATGGAAAAAGACACGTAAAAGATCACGCGCAGAAGAAGATATTTCGCACGAAAGTAAACCACACACCACACATTCCTCTATCAGGACTTGGAAAGAAAAGCGAGCAGAAAAACGACAAGTCAAAATTTAAAGGAGCCATGTAGTCGAGAAAAAAAATGATTTTCTGGACTCAAAAACTTGATCAATGCCCAACTTGCCACAATATCATCACACTTAACGAATTGTGCTGCTTGCTAAACTTAGCTACCTTGAATCTTGGCAGTAGTTTTTATTGACAATAATGAAATAGCCATTTGCAGTGGAATGAACACATGTAAGAAACCAAGAAAAGGGTAGGCAGAGATAGTGTAGATTTTTACCTGTCATAATCGTGGACAACCGTGTAGAGGAATTGAGCATAATTGGCAAGGAGGAGAGGATTGTTAGGGTCTTGAGACAATCCCATCTGATATAGTAAATCTGTTCTAAAATACTCTGCATAATCATCTGCCTCAATCTTGGCGTTAATAGGTGAAACAAATCTCTGCATGGTTTCATGATCAAGAGATTCGTCTCTCGATGAAGATTGCATTTTTGAAGCTTCCTCCACAATTGAATTCCATAGACTCAAGTCCTCTTCTCTACTCGCTTGCTCTGATACTGACTCTGCCTCTCTTGATGTCCCTAAAGATGGCAATTGAGAAGCCCCATCAGGGAGAATTGTTCTAAATTGGTTCGACTGATCGAACCATCCATCGCCTTCGGTGCCACTGGCAGCTGATCGGACCTTTCCACCACCCCCATTATTGCCCCCAATTGCAGTTGTTTTACCACTTGAAGATGATGCCAAAAACGTCTTTACTGATGAAGAATCAAACTTTTGATTCTTTTGGTCTTGGATCTCAACAACAGATATACTCTCTGTTGTAGCTGCATAAGACCCTGCATTCGGTGGAGCTGCAAGTGCAGTGTTATTGGCCATGGAATATACAGTAAAGTTTGCAAGGAGAATCATCACATACACCATAAGGGTAGGTGTATGTGAGAACACTTGCTGAAACAACCAAACAAAAGAAGCATGCATTTCTTTCTGCACACGAACAATAATGCCTTGCAAATCTTCAGTGAATAGAAATTCTCTCATTTGCAAACTATGACTATGAAGTTCTCGAATTATAAACACCATAGAAGAAAACGCCTTCTTCACTGAACAATAAGCGGATTCCCCTGCTTCTCTGAACCCTTCTTGCCATTGCATCTTTCTCTTTATCATTCGAAGCGAGAGCGGAAGATCAACACTATTCGCCTTCCGTTCAATACTTGCTGGAATTATATCATCATTCCCTGACCAATCCGGTGGCTCTTGCCGGATTTCTGGCCACGGAAGCTCCACTGAATCCAAAGGAAACTGCCTTTGTTCCTGCACTAGATTTGACGAATCATCACTCATACAGTTATTATAAATGCCGCCGCCATTAATACCGCCAAAGTCTTCTCCAGAATGAGAAAGAATCTCTGATTCCGAATCCCCTGCGTCACTGCTATTGTCATCATCGTCAGAAAGCTGGAGTCTGTGAGCCAATTCTTGAATTTTCTTGGAAAATTCTTCGTCAGAAAAGGCATCCAAGCTAGCACTGCTAGCTCTTTTTATAGTCTGACCTCTTGATTTCTGAAACTCGCAAGAACGAGTCCTCTGTATCTTCGTTGTTAATGGAGTTCCAAACAGAGCACATCGGTCTAGTCTCTGTACGTATCTACACGCGAGCATACCACCTCCAGCTCCATCGAAACGACGCTGTCGTTTTGAAGATGGAGATGAAATTGCAGAGGCTAGAGTTTGAGAGGAAGATGGTGAATGATGAATTATTGGCTGGGACCATTGAAAACATGTAGTTGTAGCAACTTTCACCCCCATTTTTTTTTCTCTTTTTTTTTGTCAAAGAAAAGCTAAAAGGAAGCTTAGAAAAAAGAATCCAATTCCCTTAGATCTGCTGCAGCTGCTTATACTCTTTGCTTTCTTTTTCACTTCTTACTTCACTCGAACCTGGAAAATAAACAAGAACAGAAAATAAGCCGCAATATATGAAAAAAATAAACAAACTGCGAATCCCGGTAACCAAATCATTACTTTCCATGAAAATCGGATCGGAAAACGGAATTCAAAAAAGCTGTTAAACGGCACGAAAAGCAATAGCAACATTGAAGTGAGATCCAAGAAATAATGACCAGTTCAAGACAGATTTTTTGCAGGAACTTACGTGAGATATGATGTACAGTTTTTCGATTGGAAATCGGAGATTTAAACTGGCGAGAAACTGAAAAGCAAAGCACAAACCGTAACTCCAGCTTATCAGGAAGAGGGAGAGGAAAGGCTATCTCTGTCTATTATATATAAACCCCACTGACACACACGAGCTCTCGTTTGGTCTCTTTTTTATATTATTATTATTAAAAAATCTCCCACACTGGAGCCAGTTTTGTTAGAGACAGAGCCAGTTTAAGAGAGTAAAACAAGGAACACAACTACTGTGTTCTGAAGGGGTAACAGGGAATCTGGGTAACCAGTCATTTTATTGCTTAATGGTTGTTTTTGTTTTTGGTTGTTTTAATTTGGATCCGGGTCAGCTGCCACTATGTTTGGTATGTACTAAGAAGAAGAACCTGACTGGAGTCCTCAGCGGCTCGTTTCACGGACGATTTGGATCTCATCTTTGCCGTTCTTAAATTGCGCCACGTGTTCACACCGACCTCTACAGTTTAAACCGTGAATTCACCGACTGTACATCTTGCTTTATTGACACGTGTGAACTGTCTGCAAAACCAGACGTAGTTAAAGGAGAAATTTTATAATAATCAAAATAAGCAACTAGTGACATGTATAGTAATTATTTTATATTTATAAAAAAATAAAAAATTTAAAAGAAATTAAACGAATGTGAAAATCTCTTATCACTTTTAATGAATATGAATATAATAATTTATTCTTTTTATGTATTTATCTCTCTCCTTAAAGTAGATCTATGAAGTAACTATCGTATATGTTACTTATTACTCTTTTAATATTATAAAATTTCTCGTAGTTAAACATCTAAAATTTAAATTAGTAAATTATAAATTAGTTTATTTATTTTCTAGAAACAAATTAATTAATTTTTTTAATTTTAAAATATAATTTTTTAATCAATATTGATCAAACTTAATTTAATATTATTTTCTTAATTGTGCTTCCATATTTTTTATTTTTGAAACAAAAAACATAATAAATTAAAAAAAAAGAATTAAGCTATACAAAAATTTAAAAATTTAAAAATTAAATAATTATTTTTTAAAATAAAAGAGAGTAATCAATTAGTTTCTCAAAATTAAAGCTACTAATTTATAAGTTACTCAAATTATTTTGTCCGCAAAATCAATAGTGATTTAGACTAGAGAGAGATGGACAGGAACTGTACAGACGAGGTGAGTGATTTTCCACGGTAGTCTTACTTGAAGAAAAAGATCGTTAGCTAGCTAACTTTTATCGAAAAGGAAAACCACATTTAACCATGTTTTGACCTTTTCGGTGCTTTCTTTCTTTATTTTTATTTTTAAGCTTGGATTTTCTTTAAAAAAAAAAAAGGAAATAGAAAACGAGGAAAAAGAAAGAACCTCAATTCTGACTGCTGATTCTAAAAAATAATACTCGGAATAATATATGCTAAACAAATTGAAACGATATGCTACTAATCTATATAGACGTAATTATTTTTTTGATATATATAAATAATTATTTTTATTTTATAGAATTATAATTGATGATTTTAGATGAAACATGTCAATCAAAATATTTTAGATATGTTATGCCCAAAAACCAGATACGTGATCTCCTTAAGGGTCAAGGGTTGCTAGTGCCTTAACGAAATCCTAAATAATACTTAAAAAAAAAAGATTCATTCCACCAACTATTATGGAAAAAAAAAAGCATGCATTTAATAGAGATATTCGTTAAAGATTACCCTTGTTCAATCGACACCAAACACGACAATATTAGTGTCGTGAGAGAACAAGTTACATCAAGAGTATAGGTCTCTCAAGTTGGCATAAAAGACAATCGACATAAAGGAAATGATCTTTCTACTCGCCTCTAACATGCAACTTGATAGAAACTTCGCCTATATAAAAACTCTATCTACTAAGGATTTCAAGTTACCAATGCTCCACTCTTTAAAATATATTTGCTATTATTATCTATACCACTCATACAAAGATAAATAAAAACCTAATTAGATCATTCCACTCTCCGGTCATTTACTTGACTATTAGTGGCCTCTCAATCTATTATGAGGATTTTTTTTCAAGTACACCCATAGAAATAAACACCAAGAAATGATAAATCTTCATCATCCATCATCGACCACATGTATTCTAATTACTCGTTCAAGTTTTTAAGACTCATCGGTTGGCACTATTTATGAAAAACTATTTTAAAAACCTAATTTCTCATTTCTCTATGTTATCTCGGTGTTTTTTTTTTTTGGGTTGTTCAACAAAAAACTCCAAGTCACACGACCCTATTAGATCATACAAGTCTCGATAACTAACCTATGGACATCGTCGGCATGTACGTAACCTTATCGAAGCATTTTTAATGGTTTACTCGGATAAAGGTGTTAACCTCACTTCCACTAATGTCACAAGCACCTCATCACGTTATACATCTAGAAACTCATGCACCACCACTTGCCAAAAGAGCCTAATCTTCTCTCTATATATAAAAACGGACGTGATCAATGCTCTATTAGAGAAGAAAGAAAAGGACATAATGATGTGAGAAAAAATGAATGAAGGCATTGATTCTATCTAAAAGCTTGAGAAAGCGACCCTTCTTTTCGTTAAAAAAAAAAACAAAAAACAAAACCTAACGAGATAAAGCTCTTATGGGGGAAAAGAATGAGAAGAATGTTAGAGCACCATTACAACGCTAAAAACAAACACAATAAACATTGCATTAGTAAAGATTGTCATAAAAAGCATCATAAAAGTACCTTCTTACCTCTTCGGTGAGTCCGGAACCTAAGCATCATGTGTCAAAAGAAATCTAGAAGCCTCATTTTGGCCGGACTTGGACCATTACGACCACATGTTCCAAGCTTATCCTTTAGCTCTCGTATTCCGAACACAAAACCCTTCAAAGATTTCATATTTGAAAAGATAAACTTAGACTTGTGCAACGATTCCGCTAATTTTAAGAAACATGTAAAAAATTAAAAGGAACCTCGAGTTGGTACTTGTGAGAAAGGAATTGTTAGTGTAGTTGCCCAAGATCAAACTATGTTTGGATATATTTAAGTTATTATATTATTCCATCATTTATTTTATTAATAATAAAGAAGTTTTTATATTAATTCTTATGTTTTATGTTTATTTATTCGGTAGAATTACATATAAGTCCTAATGATATATATTTGCATTGATGGTAGATCAAAAGACATGAGATAAACACTAATGCACATAAATGATATCATTAAATGTATCAAGTTATAAGATCGCCAATAATGGACATTAACTATAAGCGGTTAGACTTGTGAGTGTTATGCTTATGCTATATGATACTAGTAGGAGACCTAACACTTATAGGTATGGTGATGCCAAAGTAATCACTTAAGTGATTTATATTAGAGAACATATCATCGGACTTGACTCGTCATGAAAACTCATTTGGTTTAGTCTATGAGAATCTCATACGAGATGAGTATAACTAGTCCTTAGACTTAAAGTCATCACGGTTATCCCATTGGAGGATTTGGTACTTTGAAACTCGTTTTGATAGATCCAAGTAAAGAGTTGCATGTGGTCGATCCATTAGGTGCACTAGGAATGGCTAAAATAGGACATGTCATTCTTTGTATGCTAAAAGAGTTATCACATTACATTTATGTTTCCTCAAGAAATCTATGGTCTTGGTAGGAGTACACTAATAGAGTATAGTTGGTTTACTCTAAGAGCTAAGATATTTGATAATCGAAGAACATTAGTGTGATCATAATCGAACAAGACTAATAACCAAGTTTGAGATCACATTATGATAAGTTGACATAAGGATTGAATTGTATGGTAACCATACTCGTGAAAGGTAATTATGAATTAATTAATCCTTCTAAAAAATTGGGTAGTCATGAGCCTATCTTGACTTACGAATCAAGAGATAAAAGATGTATCTTTTATTTTAGATATATTGCTAATATATCTAAGAGCCTATAAAGTCACACGTATAAATTTAAGCATTCACATTATTAAAGAGAAGCAAAGATGTTGAAAAAAGTTTCTAATTATAAAATTTTCCTATTTTAGGAAAGGCTTCCAAAAACAAAAAGTTTCCTAAAATGAAAAGTTTCATATTCTGGAAATCGAGTGCCCTAATTTGGAAGTTTGTTCTAAATTTGAAAGAAAATAACCTAAAATGAAAATTAGTTTTCTAATTTAGGTTTAAAGGTAATTTAGGAAATTGTTTCCTAATATGGGGCAACTAAAATTATCTAACGTAATTTATTTAAATAGTCCAAATTAATAAATTAGGACAAAATAGTTTTGAGCTAATATGTTTAATTAAAAGCTTTTAAGATATTTTGGTGGGAGCATAAATATAAACCTCATAGGATAAGGATGAATGTTATAAAGATAAAGATCAAAAAGCCCATATACAAAATAACTCTTAATCCTTAGAGGATTAGGAAGCAATAACATGGAGTCCTTTAGGGACTTATTGCCACCCTTCCTTTTCCTCAAGCCTCTCCTATAAATGTAAGAGAGAGGTATAACAAAGACTAATGTTTTTAAGGGGAGAAAATTCGACACAACTCAAAAATAAACGGAGGAGAAAATTGTTTTCTTGTAACCCTAGCAAGCCACTTCTCTTCTCTTTCTCTTTAGGTCGTC